CTTATAGTCTTCATGCATATGTTCCTGATATGTTTATATTGCCTGTACGCTCCGTCGTTGTCAGTTCGTTTGTATTCCGCCCAAAAGTGCCTTTTGCGGCTTAGCAGGCGAAGGGTAGGGTTCTTGATTATTGTAGGTGGCTTGCAGCTTTTGGGAACCGCATGAGAAACTGAATGGTTTGTAGCACGTAAGAGCGTGTGCAGTAAGAAGTCCGAATGACCGTCCACATCGAGTTGAGGGTGAACATCCCAAAGCACCTGCTGTAGATAGTCGTGTAGAGCTGGCACATTCAACCGTTTAAAATTCCAACGCAAGTTATTGGTGGGGTATCTTAGCTTAGTTTTGCTGACAAAACTAAAGGCTATGACGGCATGATCGCTTTTCCCCAGGGGAGTCAGGATTGAAGGGTTGTCAACTAGAAATTCTTCGTTTGTGAATACACAGTCTAAGCGCGATGGTGTCTCACTGTTTCTTCAACGAGTTGCCGACCTCACATTTTCGTACAATCCCAAGTCATCGATGAGGTTGAAGAACCGAGCTTCAATTGAGCTGTCGCCTCCAGTATACGTGTGTTCCGCGAAGTTGACTCTGGGGTGAATAAAGTCCCCTAGAATCAGGATGTATGTGAAACCAAGACGAGTAGAGCGGGATAGTCCTTCCAGCATACGAATATCGTACTCGATGTCGGCAGTTGGCTTCCTGTAAATGACTCCGGCTAGACACCTCGAAGTACTAGACAATCTTACAGAGCACCTTATAGATTCCTCAAGATTGTTAAACTCGAGGTTATGAACTTGATGCACCTTCAAGCAAGAACGTATGTAAACAGTTACTCCGCCCCCAAATCCTAAATTTCTGTCATTGCGGAACAAAGACATCCCAGGTAATGCTAACTCATGGTCCGAGATTTAAGAAGATATCCAGGTTTCAGATATTCCTATCAGATCGGCCTTATTAACATTGCTAAGTTCACATAGTTCATCCAATTTGTTTGGTAAACTCGCGGCGTTTATATATAAGCAGTTTATGCTTTCAATTTTAACGCGTGAGCTTCGCCCTGTTTTTCTGTATGAGCCTTATGTGAATGGACAGGTAGCCCACCTATATGAGGTTTGCCGAGGTTGTAGGCTCTGTTCTTTACACGATTTTTTATCGTCTAGACAGTCCGCAAGTGTAATGATTAGCTCTAATTTGCCTTTTTGTTTGATCCTAGCTTCGTATGGCCTATCCGGGTGCATGTGGATTCCAGGTGGCAGTCGACGTCTGTTTGCACGAGATGCTTCCAGAGTTGCAGCCGCCAGATGGGAAGATGGGGAGGTTATCTTCATTAGACAGGGTCTAGAATCACTATCCTTCTTGGCTTGTCTCGTCACATGCTGAGTCAGTATGTTTTTGAGCCTCAAGGACTGTTTGATGAATTTCCATTTCCTGATGTCAGTCTTTGATTGAGTAAGGTCCGTATTTTCCGGTATACCTTGCACAATTATATTCCTCCCGCGGAAAAACTGATCGCGACTTTCTTTGGAGATATTCCGGGTGAGATTGCGCTCAGAATACGGTGTGTCAGGCAGTATTCTTACATTCCCATCTGATTTCAGTAAATGACTCGCTAGTAAGACATCCTCTACAACGGTTACATTCCTAATTGTTACACGAAGTAGACTCGGGAGATTTTGGTGCTTAGATTCCTTTCCCCGAGTGAACCGTGTGATTGTCAAAGGCTTTATTCTTGGAAGTCCAAGTTTCTTGTTCAATTCTCCCCAGAACATCCTATCATTTTTGTCCTGCAAACTGAGAGGGAGGTCAGGGTTGTCTTTGAATTTCATGACTACGAGAGAGTCACCACGAACCGTTTTTGTCGTCCCAGGTTTTCCGGTGCGTTCAGGCTTAGCACCTTGTTGTTTGGGGGTCAAAGCACGTTTATGAATCCTTGGCTCTTTGATGACCGGACGGACAATCTTGGGGGTAGACTGTGCGACCAGATCACCAGTTGACTTCTGTTCAACAGCTGGGATGTTCAACTTAGACTGTGATGCCTGGTCCTTTTAGCTCTTTTGACATGGGTCCAATCACCTACAGAGTTTTTGGGAACCACTGTCGCGTTCAAGGACCTTGAGTTGTGAGACCCGAGTTTGCTGAGGGAGTTGAGTACCGTCGTCGTAATCATGGTGCTAAGTTTCAGCGTGTCATCATTAATGCTGTTGCATGCTCCGTCGTTGGTAGACCTGTTGACATCCCTGTTCTGGTTTTCAATGCGCTTTCTTGTTTGTCTACCCATTTTTTGACTGCCTTTTCCCAAGTTTGCCGACAACTTGCTCTGCAGACCTGTCGGTAGGACAATAATATTACTCAACAAGACTGCAGCATCCGCGCTGTACGTAACACATCCCCACTTATGATCCGACTTGCTGAGTCTGTTGTAAGCAGTTGCTGTGAGATCTGTGCACGCTTCGTGGAACCAACCTTTGCAGTTGTCGCACTGCATGCAAGATGTAACAGCAAAACGACATCCAGGTCGTTCGCATGAACTTTTCATGATTGTATTGACGTAAACTGTGTTGTAGATGCTAGCAAAAGCCTAAGACCGTAAAAAATACACGAAAAAAACACTGAAAACGAACAAAAATGGATAAAACGGATGAGTTGAACTGAACTAGTCTTTACGTGAAAAACTGAAAAAAGAACCGAATAATAAGCTGAGGCAAAACCACAGTTAACTATTAAATTGGGTGAAACTCAGGATAGATTCTTTTGGTCAGAAATGGTAGTTTTGTTGCGTAAGAACACAGCAAAAGTTTGATAAATGCAAATCACGTTAGGACTAAACTTCCCGTTCGAAAATTAGCGGTCAGATAATAATTAGTATCTGCTCTTTTTTACTAACATCGAGAGTAAACTCCCGGCGTTCTAACAGGCATCTAAGACAGCTGGAGATAATCCTTGCGGGATGTGAGGCAGTTAGCCATCGAAGACAATGGGAGATGGACGTGGAATTTTGTGGATTGGTTGAAGTTAGACATTAACACCGTCGTGTACCAATTCAGTGGTCCAAAGGTTAGGCATTCGTGCGAGGAACAGAAAGTCACATGCACGAGTCCCACGTGCGTGACCATCAATACTCAATACCAAGGATTCCCGTACTAGAGCAAATCAAAGGTTCAGTACTTTCAGGCTCTAAATATTGGTCTACCTTAGACAAGTCCATGTTTCCGATCAAATCAATTAATTCATTTATTCATTTATCTTTTTGTTTCTTTAGACAACTATCTACTCTTAGACCTATATTTGAATCCTTTCATGTTATTTTTCATGCCACAACCAACCATTCGCGTGCCTGGTAATTCGTTGGCCTCCGGTTCGAGAAATCCTAATTCTCTTAGATAAATGTACTGACTTAGATTACAAAATGTCCAAGTCTAATAATAACTAAGAAACGAACTGGAACTGAATAAGTAGAGTAACTGAATCACCATTTTTTGAACATGATCAAAGACCTGTTAAAGCATAATAGTAGTACGGACTGAACACAAAGACAACAACTGATTTGCACAAGCTCTTTACAACGATTTCGGTAACACGTAAGCTATCACATTACCCACCATGGATTAATAATGAAACCTGAGAGCTATTGAGGCGTAGGAAACACTTCTGGTACTTATTCTTGTCAACAGGACACGCATCATTTAAGTGTGAATATAAAAAATGCGGAATATATGTGACAAAACCATAGCTAAATCTCGTACTACTTACGAAAGACAGTCAGAATAAGATAGCCGTACTTTTCCGAAACGATTGCTTTTGTATCTTAAACGGCGAAAAAACGTAGTGATAGTAATCTCTCATTACTGTTACACAAAAATCCAGATTTACTAGCTGAACCAGATCAGGCAAAACTTGAGACGTCTTCAAACTATTTTAGCAAAGTCTACTCGACGTGTATTGTTACAAATACTTGTCCCAATCACACCGCGATACCAGCCATAGTACCTGTACGTGTGACTGAGAACAGAGAGTGAGGATCAATGGAATTCTATCCTAATGGAAGCCGACCAAAAGCGGTGTACCTCAAGGCACTATCTTAGGCCCTCTAATTTTCCTTCTCTATGTTAATGAATTACCGCTATTAATTAAGCCTTCGACACTATTATTTGCGGATGATGTAAAAATCTAGAGAACCATAAGAAGTGAGGCTGATAATTTTGACCTCCAAGCTAACTTAGATGAAGTAGTTAGATGGGCCCGAGGTTGAGGTTTAAGAGTTAACTCTAGTAAGAGTGTTCTCAAGCACTTCGGACACGGTAATGGTTACAATTATACTATTGATGGCACACCTTTTCCGCGCGTTCAAGAACACAAAAACTTAGAATTGATAGTGAGTCACGACTTGAAAACAATTACGCATTGCAACGCAGTTGCTGCCAAAGGTTATCGTGCGTTATGTTCACTTCGCCGAGCATTTAAATGCTTTGACGAGGAGATGTTTCGAATTTTATATCTCACCTGTGTAAGACCACACTTAGAGTACTGTATCCAAGCAGCTAGCCCATGTCTGATTGAGAATATTAATTCATTTGAGCGCGTTTGGCACACGGGAACAAAATTAGTGAAGGGTCTTTCTAGACTCCCTCACGATGAGCGCTTAAAACACCTAAACCTTTTCCCTTTGTCGTGTCGTAGGACGCGAGGTGATCTTATAATGGCACTTCAAATTCTCGATTATGATTTGTGTGTTAATATGTCCTACCTTTTTGCTTCTTTCAGCAATAATAATCTCTGAGGTCATAGCAAGAAGTTTCGTAAACCACGACCTAATAAACTTAAAGTGGGTCACGTTTTTCTCATCGATGACTGGAACGCCTTACCCGAACAAATGGCATCAGCCTCGTCAGTGAATATTTTCAAGGAGAAGCTGAACATTCACTGGAAGGCGATCTGTCAGGATTAACGCAGGTTTACCAACCTACTGTCCTTATTACTGAAGACTGAAGATATTGGATATTGGACCGTTGGTTTAGTAACGGTATCGTGCATAATATGAATATTTTTTGTCTACAATAATGTCAAGTATAATTTATTCTTGGGTGTCACATGAGTTGAACCTACATGGTTAGCTGTATTCTTTATTGTGCAATATCTTCATTTTATAGGTCAGCCACTGGAGAAGTTATTTGCAAACGGTTACTTTTTGGGAAAACTTTTGCACAAATATAACAAATTTCAGAAATTCTATCTCCTGAAAAATTCCAGGTATAAGTGACTTTTCTAACTTCCATCAAGCTCGCCGGAATCGATCATTCAAAATTATTCCTACCTCCGATCAGCACTCCACGAAATGGGAATAAATATTGATGCACACCTAAGCCATGACATAATCACCGAAAAACCTGGTAGTATACACCAAGTTCTGTACCAGATTTACGTTATTTTAAGTGGTGTGGATGGTTTCAACCGATGTGATACCATCGACTTCAGTAATTTCGAGCATACACAACTGAATACTCTCCAAAATCTATCTTACAAGAACGTGAGTGGTTATATCTATGATTAACAGACCACGATGAGTTTTATTTAGGCTTTTGGGGTCTATGAAATATCTAAAATGCTGGTATAGCCATATAGTTATTATATTTATATCATCTACATTAATAAGGATTAAAAAACCGAACACTTTAATTCGCATGAATATTTTTAATATTATGCATGTCTTTAACCTGACAAGAGGACTTAACAGAATTTTAATTTTGGATTTAGCTAGGTGACGGCTAACACATGAGACGGTGAAATAATTTATTCATAACTAAACCCCAATATGACACTGTACATCGGAAAAACCTGTAAATCTACCTTTTAAAATTGAATAATATGGTTTTGAAGATATTTGGAAAAAAAGACCATATATAGCTGTGTTGATATTGGCAAAAAACTGATGAAACGAAATATAACGTGTGAGAATAAATCGAACGAGACCTTTTCGATTAACACCGTCCGCTATATATATCTTACAGACTAAATATTAATGTTTCATCAAACTACTATTAGAGTATGGTTAGTCAAAGAGTACTTAGACGTTAGCTTTATCAATAGGTGATCGGACTCATTCCTTCAGGTGTTTATTCTGAGGTTGTTTCATAGATGCATCTCACTGCTCTATCGTCTTGTACACTTCAAACCGAGTTACATTTTCTCATTTTGCCTATTGTTGAGTACGGATCTCAAAAATCGCTTTGTTAAGTTTCTTATAATTCAGGTCTTTACAGCATTTTCATAAGCCATGCAACAGAGAATAGTAGCCAGCTTATGAGTCGATCTAGACTAATTATTTGTAGTGTTTTATATTTCACTACGACATCCAAAATAAGCTCTGTGTATGAAATCCAGAGACTATATGGTCCAGTATATTATACCTTCCCAAAAACAAACACACAGCTTTAAAAATATTTTGACTGTAGTTGATAACATCACAGCGATTGGTGATTACATTGTTGTAGTTTTAGATACGTAATAACTGTTCACAGATGATAGTGACAGTCATATCACGACTTCATAATCCCTAATAAACAACAGCTGGTCCACCTGGTATCCGTAATAAACACCTCGACCAACTCCTACTTTAAATCAATTTGTTTCTGTTTCTGAAATCGGTTTTGTTGGTAGAGATTTTCCGTTGCGATTGAAATTGAATTTAAAGTTTATGAACCTCTTGTTGTAATTTCAGAAACGGCTAGTTATACTAACTCTTTTCGTTCCGTATGCGCTTATTTATGCGTTTGTGAAACTGTTCTAACTGAAGCATGAGTAACTATTGAAGGAAAGTGATTTAAACATTAATTGACTGACTGTCATACGGGAACAAATATTTTAGTGAATATAAGGCAAAACAACATGTGCTTTGCAATATTTAGATTGTTTGATATTGGTTCGTGTATAATATAATTAACCAATGTTTTCATTAGATAAATATGCAAAATTTTCACGCAAAATTTAAAGCTGAACTATATTTGAAACAAACGAAGGTAATTGCTTTTACTGGAACAGTTGTAGAATAGACAATATAAAGTAAAAACCGGCAGATCAAGTTTGACAGCGTATGAATATTTACAAATTTTGTCTATCTCAGTGTTCAGAAATGATATGTATCCAGAATTACTAAATCTCCACTAGTCCATGACCTCAAACATAATACCTTTGGTTTTGTGATTCAGTATATGTACAAAAGAGTGAGAACGGCAAATTACAATATAAAGACACTTAAAAAGCTGGTTTTATACTTGTAAATTACTCAAGGATTTACTAAAAATCAGAATTTGTTTAGAAGTCAAAACCTATTTGAGCAGTAATCAGTTGAGACAGTGTATAAGTATCACATATGACAGTAAAACTTAAGTACCATGTCATAAATAATGGGTAAACAATACAGACTGATTGACATTTTAAAGGTAGAAATATTGACAGAAATATTCACACGCTTAGTCTCTAACCATTTCTACGGATTTTGAGAGTGACGAATTTTTTACCAAAAGCACAAACCCCGCTATCACAGAAGATTATGGGGGAGCACGGTTAGTCGAAAAACAGGTTCTGGTGGTATTCATAATAAAAATCAAGCTGATTATTGCTATACAAGAAGTCATATAATCCAAAATCCTTAAAACTGAAGAGCGAATTGAAAAAAGTTGCTTTATTTAGTTTAAATAAGTTCTCGCATAGCTGTGTAACCAAGGGAAATCGGCTATTTAATATGTAGCTCAAAACTAACCCCAGTTTAACCAGTTATTACGGGCTCACTTTAGTTTTTTGTGCCCTTAAACAGATATGTGCTGTAAAGGCGTATTTATAGATGTTTAAGCATTCCATCACCCAAAATATATAGAATAATATGATTACAGTCGGGTTGTAGGGTAATTCTATTTAGCACTCCAGCAAATGTGCTTGCAAATTTCATTGAAATGTGGTTTCATAATGCTGTACTCTGAAAAAGGGCCGATAAAGTCATCACTTTTATAACTGTGGACGGTTCCTCAGATTACCTAATGATCCCAACTGCCACTGTTTCGTCTTTTGAAATATCATAAAGTGGACACTTAAAGGATAATGTCTAAAGAACAGTATTGTGCGAATTGTATACAAAATTATAACTACAGTCAAATGTGTAATTGCGTACTGACGAACCAGATGGATAATCTTGCATTTTAGTTTTTAACTAAAAGGCAAAGAGGGTTATATTAAATAAAATACCTGCAACACGTTTTAAAAAGATTACGATTATCTTTAAGTCATTCAAGCCTAAATTTTAAAATTTTCTGCATCATTGCCTTGATGAATTCATATTAATTGCCATTTCTGTAACACGTTAGGAACATTTATAGGATTTTTATGAAGGGTCATAACTTAACGATAGTTTATCTAAAATGTGGTGAACTTTAATCACTGTGTGAGGATTTCAATCATTTTTTTCAATCTATAAACCAGTAAACTTATATATGAATGAATAAAAGGTAGTCAAAGGGTTTCTGATAATCTGACTATGACCTCTTTTGAACTCCAGAATGTAACGCGGAACATGGTACACAACAATGCAACGGACTCGTCAATTAGGATATACTTATCTGTGTAACACTCAATATTTTTCTGTGCAACAATTGGCAAAACTTTACATATTTGTAAGGTTTGGAATAACTTGATAATTCTTCGCCGACTGTAAACAAAGTTTGAGATCATCCGGATATCCTGAGCAATTGAGAATTAGCTTTGAAGTTATTACCCACGAACCAACTGAGAGTTGTTTCCAACAAATTACACGTCATAATAGTGAAAAGCTTCTATTATAATTCATAACGTACTTAATTTAGAGAGTTCATAATAGTTGGCACTTTGCACATATCATAATATGAGTTGTAAAAAAACTTGAGGAAACTGGAAACGACATACTAATGTTTACTCAATATTTACACTATCAGCGTTCTTTATTTTTACATGATTAGAACAAAACGCAAATGTAATGGTTCAAAGCAAATTGAATTATATTCCCACTGAGAAACTCATATGTGGCAAGAATTTTGTGATTAAGGATTAAATTTTGCATCGATATATGTTTATTTCATGTTTTAAGTCGTTGGCATCACGGGATTGTATTAGTTGAACTAGTCCTTTTAACCATTCTGTTAATGTTGGTAATAGAGTAGATTGTATTCAAGGACAATTGCGTATGTTTGACAGAAGCAGAAAATATTGCTCATTTCAAACTGCCGAAATAGTGCAGAGATACTACTTAGTTGTATTTTTAACTAGTTTTTAATTTTAGATATGCTGTTTTTTTAATTTGATCGTCCTTATGTTTAAAAAGCAACTAAAGCAACTCATTCCGAGACAATCCGATGTTAGTTTGGCGCAAATTCTGTCACGTTATGAACGACAACTGAAAATAAATGAGAAGCGAATTAAAGAGGCTGATTTAATGGACACATTAGAGAAAGATGCTCTCGTCCAAAAACGTCGAAATTCAAGACTTCAAAGAAGTCGTGACTTGCGTATGATGCAATCTGAATTAATGGCCAAATTAGAGTAAGCAGTCGCTTATATTTCGTTGTAAAATATATTGCAAAGGATAACAATATATTGGTTTATCTTATATGTTTCTAAATTTATGGTCTAATTGTGAGCGAAATGGTTTTAAGGATATTTTGTAAGCTATTAGAAACTAATTTACATTAAGAATCAAGCCATTTTACGAACAATCAAAAATGACTAAACGCCGTAAGGATGTTTCTCTAGATCAGAACTCCATATCAGGCCATACTTACGAACTTACACGGAATCAATCTCAGACCTTTCGGAAGTCACAAGGGGTATAGTTTCTTTCGTCACTAACTAGGAATTTTGTATCCAAGATGCTTACTTTGTTTGATACCGCGTCATCCATATTGCTACTTAAAGCATTTATTTTTAATTCACTAGTTCCTTGTCAGTTTAATTCACTTTTAAACCAACTGATGAAGTAGACCAAGGCTCAACATATCTTCCGATGGATTTACAGATTTAAAAGATATGGAGAAGGGTTTTAAGCATATGACATTTTCCAAATAGATTTAGTACTGATAAATTGAAACAATTAATATTATCCAATGATTAGAATGAGTAGATAATTCAAATGTGTTCATTCTTATAATTTTCTGGCTAACTTCGTTTAGTTTTCGATATAACATAAGACATACTATTGTACATATATTCTAAATTTTACTCAAAAAAAGTTCCAAGAATCACTTAAATAAAATCCGTCTAACTAGAAAACCTACTTTATCAAACTTGAGTTAAAATCATTACTTTATTCGTTATCTGTGTACTGATGGCTGCAGAAACATTTGCGAAAGTGCTTAAAATAATTTAAGTGGTTAATTTTGCTCTATATTATACATCTTTTACAGTCGCAAAAATTGCTTAAGTTATTAGCAAAAACATCTTTCATGTTAATGAGTTTGGCACTTATGAAATTATGATACTTTTTTCATTTTTTCCACCAGATCTTTGCCCAATGGAAGTTTATAAGACGGAATTAGATAACTATTCTGAACGCAATACTTTTAAAAATAAGTGAACATTGATTTTGTAAACACTTAGATTTAGAAAAACAAAATATTCTAACATTCCTAGTTCAAATACGTTAATATATGCTAAAAAATCATTGCTTAGGGTTTAAGGTGAGAAATGAAAAGTGACTGAAAGTTGTTTCTCCCTGTCCCCTCAGTTTTGAACCTCAAGTTATCTCTACTGATATATATCCATATGCTAGAACAACTGTATATATATATATATATATATATATATATATATATATATATATATATATATATATATATATATATATATATATATATATATATATAAGGGGGAAAACTAATATTATCACTTTCAACCAAACATCAAACTTAATTGCAAATCAAAACCTCAGACCTGAAAATATGATTCTGAAACATGAAAAGGATGGTGCTTCTTCCGAAACTGTATCAGTGATAATAACCTGTATCTAACGTTTCGAAGCTATGATATATTCTTTCTTAGCCTGTGATCGATTATGATTTGACGATAGATGTGTAGTCGTTGAGCATATACGCCCAATGTTTTAAGGTACCACAAGAATAATGTGTCTCAATAGTTGAGGAAAGGTTCATGTATTGTGCTTTCATATCACACTTTATGGGTAACGATTAGTAAAGCTATTCAACTATTGAAACCGAAGTAGGTGAAGTTATGTTTGTACCTTCAACCCGGAGGTTGAAAATCAAATACTTCAAACGTTAACCAACTTGTTGACATTTACTATGAGGAGTCAAAATATTGTTTAGCATATGACTATTACGAATTGATAATTCATTTTCTAACATGACTTGATAAAGTTTTAATGAACAATATTTTGAAGACAAAACTTACTTTTTACCCGATTCACCAATTTTTTATGCTCAATTTTTAAGGTTTACCTTCAGTACTTACAATATGACTAATTTTCTCAACTCATCTCTAGAGCATCTATCATCAATTTACCAAGATCTGTTCGGAACAAACTAACAACTAAAAGCATGGACAGGCAACAATCCAAGCAAACACATACAGTAATGTTCTTGTTATTATGATTATTTTCCGTTATATTGATATGTATTTGTAAAGCGTGCGTCAAAGATTTCAATGTTGTCTTGATTTTGAATCGATAAATTAATAACTCATGATGCATAGTTATTAGTAATCATTAAAACTCCTTGCACATTCTCAGTCAGCTAACACTTTTATTTTGGCGCTAAGATGGTCTGAGGTCAGTCAATTCTACTGATTGTCGAATCTGACACATGTGCGTCAGCTCAAATTTCTATAGAAAGGTCAACGAATTCAACTGAGTATGATAAGCTACTTTTATTCAATCCAATTATTTGTGTTTCAACTCATGATGTTTCCAACCACTTTTTTGAGTGATTTAAAACTTCGTTCCAACCGAATTTATAATTATAATAACTGAGTAAGTTCATTCGTGTTAGTATTTCTATGGGCAAGAACAGTAAGCAAGCGAACTAGTATCATATGACACTGAGTAGAAAAGATTTACCTTTAAAAAAGTGGTGTTACACTTTCCAAAAACATATGGGTACGAAATCTTCAATAAAAAAGATGATGTAATAAGTCTAAGACTCAGTATAATCAAATGATATGTTCCACGTTGTAAGAAAGATCTCATCTTTAAGCAATCAGCCATGATTGATTTCAAGTAAATTACTCCTGGTCTTCTTTATGATATTACCAGGACCTTGTTTTAAATCCTTAAATTTTCTTATACTACTGAGATGATTTCTCAGTCACTTCGTGAGTTACACCATTGTTTGATCTTAACCAAATAATTCCAGTCCTGCTAAAAACAAAACACTATTTCAAGTATGTTTTCTAAAACGTTCAACTAATATGAGTAAGAACTTAGTTAAGGAGTTCAGTTTATTGTACTTTAGGTGTGACATTTTGCTTTAATAAAATTTCTGAACATCATAAACAGATATATTTACAGTTCAGCATAGCTATCATTCAATAACTCAACAAAATACATCGTAATGTAATGTATGATAACTCTCACATTTCAGGTTTATTTAATAATACCTTATTACATTCACAGAATAGTGTCAGTTTAAAAGAATTGGATGAATTTGACTCGCGTAAAGAGAAATGTGAACTGTATAACGGCGATGTATCAAAAACAGGAGATAAATCTAGCGAACAATTAAGTCCAAATTTAACACTTAACACCTCAACAGACGATTTTAATAAGGCGACAATGAATTATATGAAACAAATTCATAAAAGAGTTCACGAAGAAAAAAAAGCAATATGTGAGCGTCAAAAAAGAAGGAGACGAGTTATTATGGATATACTGGAAGCAAATCACATTCGACAAGTAAGTTGTCTTTAAAGTGATTGTGATAGAGTTAAATATTAGAAGAGAAGCTATTAGTCTGTAAGTAAGAACAAAATACATTTTAAGTGCTTAACGTAAATTAAAATTGATAAATAAAGAGCACAAGGTTACATTGGATTTATACCCACAGTAGGGAGGAGATTTTAGTTACCGAAAATTGGATTTCTGATCCAGATCAAGCAAAGGTAGCTTAGCCTTAACAGAGGTTAAACAATCCCATAAAAGTGATTAAGTGATGGTTATAAATGGTAGCACAAAACATTTATATTTAGACAGAGAATTCTTCATAATGTTATAGCAGTGAAATCCCTTTGCTTTTTGTTGGTGAAAATGTTGACACATTGGACATTTTCATTAACAATACTATACTCAGAGTTCATCAGAGACCGCATTTTCTTGAAATATATCTCTTATAACACTGTCAGGGAGGATGACCTTATCTAAGTTTCTATGAATGAACAAAAATTATCCAAGTATTCCAGAATTTAATTGTCAAAGATTCTGATCACTTACAAATTCTTTTCGTTGTGAAGTAAAGTCGGGTAGGGATTTAGTGAAAGGAAAAAATAATGAACAGCCGTTTCCTATCGATATAAAGTCAACTTTAATGATTTCCAGTGAATCAGACTGTAATTGTAGTGGTTTTCATTTAAATTAGTTTTTCATAAACTAATTAAATTAGCCAAGCTTATAATTGACTTAAATATAAATACATCCGTACCAAAAATTATAATACAAAAGTTTTTCTTTAACTTATTTTTAAACCATAATTCTTTGTGATCATTTAATCTCTTAGGAGGAAATCAGATCAGAGCAAATTGTGCAACGATTATCACGTCAGTCTCACTTAGAAAGTCGTATTTCTGTACAATTAGAACAAATTAAACAAGAAAAATCAATAATTTTGGAAAATCGTCTTGAACGAGAGCGACAATATGAAACTAGAAGAGAATTAGAGTTTCAATTAGCAATGGATCATGAAAGAGTAAGGCCAATTACAAATAAGATTATTTTAAAGGAATAAACTGAAGGTTCATAAAATGTTTTCCTTCCTGATATTTAATTTTACCCCCCACTTTCAAAAATTCATACTTTTTATGGTAAGTAGTTTTATTAAGGTTTCATATAATTTATTAGTAATAAGCATTGTAAACCAAGTCCAGCTGAAGAACCATTGAAAACCAGGTAGCAGTGAACGGCTGTTTTACTTCCGTTCGAAACTAAATGGCAATATGTGCTTACGATCTTAGCCAGTAGGAATTCTTGAATCTGTGTTCTAATTAGCTTATATATTTGATCACCCCAAAGACCAAATCATGTAATATTAGGTTACTAGGCTACTACCAAATGATCTGCTAGCGTCTTATAAGAAGTAACCTCATTAGTAGTGATTCTTACGGTGATATTAGATTACGTGAGTTTGAATATTATAGGGGCATTGTTGTTATATCCAAACAATAAATAAATGAATAGTGATTGTCAGGAATTATTTATGGCCTATTATTATATATATTCTCATTGGATAACTAGTGAGTAAGTAGATTATATGTATATTCATACTTCTTTCATCATAAGCTTTCATTTGACCTATTGGGTGCTGTTATACGATATACAATTCTTAATTTATTCACACTCTGTTAGTTGCAATCACCTATGCGCACAGCCACTTTTGGCTTAATGCGATGCAGTTAATTTCTGCTGAACTCAACACTAATGTTGATTACTTCGTCAAGGTAGTCTGAGATCATGGATGAAAAATCACCAAACGGTTCTCTTGGCTTTACGTTAATGACCAAACCTACTCAGTTTAGATTGAATTCACTCAATTGCTCACTTTTGTTGTTACCATATTTTACTGTCTCCCTTAAATTAATGGAAGGTTTATTGAGGAGTCAGCGCATTTTTCGGTTAATAATTTGTACCTGAAAGGACGCCAAAAGCATTTGCATTAAATAAATGTAACACAATGTCTACTATTAAATTTAAGACTAAATAGAATATGTGTTTATTTAACTGTCCCATTAAGATATAATGCTGCGAAATACACGACACTATGAATAGAAAACCCATCACCAACAATATTGTTTGAGTTCACTAACATTATGATTGTTGATTTTGAATTTTAATAATAGGAAATGCTGCTTCAACAAAAAAAGGAAGAAAAAGATAAACTTACAATATTAAAACAACTTTGGTTTGAACAAAAAGCTAAACGACAACAAGCTTCTTATAAGCGTCATTATGAATTTATTCAAAACGATATCATACCATTATTATTACAATTTGTTATGAATGTTGCTGAATATCGGATGTTCACAGGGAAGTAAGTTAGGAAGGTAGACGGTGTATAACTCTTAAAAAACACCTTTGTAATTTTATATATACTGAAAATTAAAGAAGGAATGAAAACAAAATTTTTTTTCAAACAATCAAGTTAAAATCTTAATTTTATGTTTCATGTCAAGATTTACAGATGAGCTGTAGTCCCACTTGATTGAAGTCCTTGAGATACTGGAAATCAGTGGTTTTTAATTTTAAGGATTAAGATTTTAAAATGACCGCAATATAAGTAGAGTTATGTTTCATTCAAATCTGCTTTCTGAACACTGCCGTTCAGATAATTTATTTTCCTATCTTCTTGTGCTACTGAAAAGTACATTACTTTGATAAAGGAAGATTTCCGTAAAATCCTATATTATTTAGAAGTAAATCAAATACATAATTATTAGCTGAAGAACTACTGAAAACAATGGAAAAAAGATAGCTGTACCATCCTATTTGAGAATTCCTCAAGTGTCCTCTCAAAAATGAAATTGAAAACTATTAGATTACGATCCACCAATTTAAATCTTTCATATCGCAAGATCTGACAGCCATGGATATATGAGCCCATCACTGAGGAGTATTAGACTGAAGCGAAAAGCTGTATAGAACTAACCTGATCCCAGATAAGGAAGAAAATTTTCTCTAACTACTAAAATTGGAAGAAAAGTTTGATAGATTATTATTATGAACAAAAACATCTTCAGTGAATGACAATACCATCTCTAATAAGAACAGAGTTAGGATCTAAAATACTTTTTGACAAAAAGTGGATATCAATTTTACCGGCATGACTACAATTTATAGACGAACCAATTAGATTTAGGATAACAGGTCTTGGATTTTGGCACGAAATTCAGTCATCCAACTGACAAAACGGCGTTTTGATACTTTGGCTGATGTCAGTTCGTGATAAAAACCCTGAATCTAATTGCTAACCCTAACCATCAACCGTAAATCATAATTCTAATCCCCTGCTCTGGCTTACAACTTTCATTTAGTCCTCGTCAATAGGTGAACATTCTCAAGGTCAATTCAGCGTCTCTCAAAGGTTGTCCATAAATCATTGTCTCACCATCTCACTTGAATCTAATTTATTTCGAGTAAATTAAAAGACTGACAAAATAACTAAACTTATATTATTGTAATTTACGAATTCTAATTGCCTCTAATATATGGCATGAAATAGAAGTTGCAGTGTATTACAATGTCTTTTGTTACCCCTGTTCAATTCATTTCGCAACAAATTTTCTCCTATAGACGACATTTTCGTCCTCCAACTTTTTAGAGGTCGATTTAGAACATGCAAATAACGACGATGAAAATGGTAACAAAAAGTAGTCTCCTGATCGCCTTGAACAACAATGTAAGCATATTCAGGACGCATTTTACCTCTGCAGTTGTAAGATATTGCTTCAGGAATGGTCAGCGTTAAGGCCTGAACTAATGTTAAGGAATGAAGTAATTGAGTGTGATGATCACTTTGTGTATGCTGAAAGTCTTATCAGCTTTGGTGAGTTAGTGTCTAAAGAAACCTCTATACGAATTCAGAATGTTTTCTTAGCTATAGCCAACATGCATCACTCGTGAAGTGTTCATCCGCAGTCTGCCGCTTTTTACTTTATGGCTGTAAAATGTGGTTTTTAAAAATACAGGATATTCATAGGTTACCAGCAGTTAATTACAGCTATCTCCTAATTACTGCTCTCATATCGTGGAACGACCGAATTAACAGTGCTGAGGTTAGGCCCAGAGTACTAAGTAAGGATGGCGAGTTAGCTGATGAGTTAATGAGTCTTCATTAACTGAGGTGGTCGAGATATGCATTCATATGATTAATCACCGCTTACCTCGTTGTAGCTATGTTTTCTGGCGTAAAAGTGAGTTAGAATGACTCTAGGGGCATCCGAAGCAAAAAGTAGCATCAGTTTATAAAACTACTGGTTTTTAGTTTGAGCCATGCAGATGGGTTAAGACTACTTTGTTGTGATCTACACGAGGATAGTAGTCAGTGGTTGGTAACACTGGATGGCACGGACAATGGTACAAATGCATTCCCTCTTTATCTTGCCATTCTATCATGTATGCCTTTTTGTTCCATCTTTTTGAATCATGTTCTCAATATTTAATCTTTCTCATTACCATTGGTATTAATTTATTTAAATTCATCTTCTGTTCATCTTGTTAGCTTCATCTTGTTGTGTTAATATGGTATGACCGCTTGGGCTAAATTACACTAGTGCCAAGCTCCATAATGATGACTGATTGAATTACTTATCTAAGTAATGTATATTTTTAAATGTTTATTTTAAAGGCTAATTCCATTAAGGCTTTTCCGTCAATGGAAAATCGAATTCGTAAACGGTCTGTTAGTGAACGACACATCATCAACAGAGGATCAGGCAGACGATCCTGTTGAAGAAGAAATGTCGAATGTGGCTAACCAACTTAAATTAGAAAAGAATCAAATCATCGAAGATCAACAACAATTACTAGATGATTGTGATTTGGATGAGTATCAAGTAAATCAATAAATCTTTAATCATCACTTCCCATTTTTTGTCTAAATGTATCTTTCTGTCATTTTAAGTTTTACTTGAATTAATTTTTCAATAATCTTTTCATTATGAATTGAAATTAGCTGAAAAGTCATTGAAAATCATATAACATTTGATATTAACTTTGTTCTAGTTTGAAATTCATCATTAGCGCTCATCTATAACAACATATATGCTTGAATTTATGATCACAGGGGTCATTATAGATACAATACTTACTGCCTATTTAACTGAAATACAATTACCCGAGTTTCCAACGTCAGTCAGCGCATAAAATAGTCTAGTAACGTTGAACTCCTCTAGCTGTGAATTTAAAAGTCCATTTCGAATTTTCCCACAGTACTGATTAGCCCTTAACTTGAACGAGGAATTATTTAGCGTTTCCTGGTTTTCCTTGGTTCCCTGGTTGCTATCAGCCAGCGGTAAAAACCGTATATTAATAGAACTAAGTTTAACAAAACAGTCAACTACGCGACATTCAAAATCCCATTAAAGTTGGACAGATCATTTTTTAAACGGTTGTATTCTCAAAAAAATTGCGACTTAGTAAACATTAAATTTCGCTGTTATTTTACTCAAACTGTTGTTACTTTCAAAACAATTTACAAGAAAAAAAGGAAAACTTGTATTAATTACCTGGTTAAGAATTATGGGACATTTTTTAAATAAGTTTATGGAATATGTTTCCCAAAAAAAATTAAAACGATATCTGAGATAGGCGAAACTTATTAAACATCAATTTTGAGTACATACTAATACTAAATTAATGAAAGTTGGTAATTTTGTACATTTCAGTGTTATACTTGTGTCAAATCAGTATTGTTGTGAACTTCTGGTATTGATGCAACAACGATTATTATTGTAACCTTCTATACTTCGATATTATTATAGTCCCTTGTAATTCACATCTACTCTTCTTAGTTACTACGGTATGAACAATACTGAATATATTGTGATATCTATGCACCAAAATTTTCCGATCTTGAGGCATAAAAGCGCTATTGAATATTTCATCTTTCTTCTTTTTACTTGCGTGAGGTAACCATTTTTAAAGTTTCGTTGTATATAACACGTTCGGTTAACCTAGTCACGTTAGATCTGTTTTATAATAAAAAATATCCCAACACCCCAGCTAAAATTGTATAAACCGTAACAACCAGTATATTTAGTACCATTGTTACGTATTCTCTTGTTTAGAATAACATTTAAATGAGCATAGAAACTATACCGAATTTTTAATATTAATAAGTTGCCACGAACCTTAATACATTTTTGTCTCAATTCACGGAGAAAACAAGCACATGAAGTTCTTGAAATAATATCTTTCTATGCAAACTAAGAAATCATCATATTAGTTACGAAAAATCAAAGAAAATACCAACATCTAAATCTTATCTACTTAAGTTTACTTTAATATCTGAGACACTTGTTAACTCAATGAATTCCATTCATATTTATGCGAACATCCGCTAGTCACCTCGTTAATTTAACACCAAGTTATAGGTCAAATAAAACGTATCGGTTTTTTACAAGCGTCGTTAAACCAATTCCTAAGTCCTATATATGTTTAGTGTCTTGGTAAATGGATTCAATGGAAAATCTGAAAATATAAAAAATGGTTGTATTTACATGATGTAAAATTAACTAGAACTTATCCTTACATTCCATCAGCTGACTCAGCCACAAAATCGATACAAAATATTTAACATTGTACTCCTGGCTTTCTAATAATAATTTAATACTTAAAAACAAACAAGACCGTTTCAAGCCAAAATCGGTTGATATTTACATTCAGTTACATAGTACACTATTTTATTCTTAAAATTATAACAAAGGGCATATCACGAAATGATATCACACCAGAAAATGGTTTTAAACTTGTGTGAATAATCAAATCTAACTATACACAGAAATTATTAATAGTCGAGTCTGTGTTGAGAATAAATCCATTTCTTTAAACAAGTTTTTCATTATGAATTCCAAACTAAGAACTACTTTAGAATGACTACATTCAAGATTCTGAAATAATTAGGAGTACTTGTTACGAAGCTATGATATGGTACGATTATTGTTATTACTAATGGTATTGTTTTTGCTATAGGATATGTTTCTGATAATTCGTTAGGTCAAATGAAATACATTTAAGGTAAAAACTTATTTTTGTCAAAGTAAATGAAAATGTACTCTGCTGCACAACTTACCAGCGGAGAAACATTTATATATTTTATATATATTTAAATGTTACCTAATGGAGACGTCGTAATGGACTTAAGCCAGCTAGAACAAAAGATAGTAAGACAAGCGTAGTTCTAATTTTCAAAAAGTTTAATAAACATAAAATTCATGTTTTTTTTCAAAATACAAGACCATTAGTACATTTATTATATTGCAGAATCTTACTGGCGATTGGGACCTAGAAAAAATTGGTACACTCTCTATGAAATCATTGCCGAATGACTTAATTCCGCATGTACAAGGTAAACCAGTTGAATGGATCGACTTCAAAGATGAATGTAAAACAAACGAATTCAAACTACCAAATGATATCAATCTAATAAAAACCAATCCAGTTTTAGAATGGATAATTAAACGTTTATATAAACTTAATTTTCCTCCAACTGTGAGTACATTAGTGTACATTGATAGAATAACCATTTTTTTCAATTATTCATCATTTAATAAAGTATTTTTCCAAACTATTTGCCTAGTTCAATGTTGGTTTTCGTCAAGAACTTCTATCAGTTGAAAAAGCACTATAAACCAGTGAAGGCTGAATAATAGTGTGATTATATCACATAAGTTCTTAATACTTACTCATTTACACGAGAATATAAACGACATAATATTCCAGATAATTATTTTCAATGCTATAACTCCTATTTCTAAAAAAAGTATTTTTGAAATTGAACACTCAGTAACATTCTAAACATCTGAAATAATGGTTAGTGATGACCAATTCAGTCACTTTATCCTTCTACGTTTCTTGCTTCATTTTCAAATAAAATAAAATAAACTGTGACTACAATGGAGTTAACCTAAGAATGATAATAAATAATCAGATTTCTGAATGTATATTTTAAGGTATACAAAGCTGTCTTTTACATCTAGAAATAAATATAGGCAATAATTTAAAATTAAAATAAACATATTCATATAGGTTTCATGATTTCTGAAGATTTTTTTAATTCTTTAGTTCGCTATAGTTTAGAAAAGAAACATGCCAAGATAAACACTTTACAGTATATACTGAATAAGGTTATACTCACATACAATGCGTAAAATCATCCAACTCATCAATGAATGACAAGTTCATGTACTGCATTTAGATGGAAGTTTTTTGGGGAGTTTGCACAACAGTCTTAAGGGAGGCAATAAGCAGTAGGAATTTATGTTGACTGTAAGAAGTTACAAAGTATTGACGTATTGCATATAAATAGTCTTCAATCGTCTATTTGCATCTTTTGATATGTTATTCAATCTAAATAGTTTTCTTGTCTGTTGTTCAAGTGTTCTGCCAACGCCTCATTGAAACTCTTTATTCCGTCCGGCAACTTAGAGGTTAAGTTCGGAAACATACTACTTACAAGCAATGTTGTGAGTAGCATCCACTAAACCATTGGCTTTCAAACAAACGACGCTTTCGCCTCGTAGTTTAAAGACATTAGATCAATATAATATATTCACTGGTAGAAAAAGAATGAACTCTGATGAAAAATAACCTTACGCAACCATAAACTGCATAAATCGGTGTCAGTCAAGCAAGTTATACGTCTATATTCTGATGTTTCTGCCAACTTCAAGTTTTAATAATCAAAGATGATTGAGCATCTCAGTGACACATTAGTAAGCTTTATCATATTATATTCTATCAAACACAATCTTGAGCTCGTACCAGATGCAAGATTTTACCATGATTATCAACCAGTGAATAATTTTCTTGTTTTTCAATCTGTCATTCATTTATTCGAGGTAATTGTGTTAAGAACTTCTTATATAACCAGGATGACTTTCACATCATACTATGTTCTCAGTTAAGTCATCACATTGCAATATAAATTAAGGTTAAATCATATAGTCTGCGACAGCTTATTTGCTAGCCTTCGTTTGGAATTTGAATATTTTTTTTAGATAGGGATTGGGATGTAGTAAAACAATGGTCATATAAATGAATCAATTAACACGAGACTTTGCACAACACTGCAAAGATTCAAGTACTTCTGATTCCCCACCATACAGTTATAATAAAAAAACAATGAAAATATAAAGTAGGCAGAAAACTCATGCAGAAAAATATAATCAAACGTCTTAACATTGAAAACGATATGTTAGTGAAACTATTCAATTCCTATTTATTCTAAATCATGTCATTTATACGCTGTGATTTGTGACTTTAGCATCAAGACTTGTTCACCCGTTGAAATATTTGGGCTACCTACTTTATGTTTGAGCGAATACATAGGTTAACCTTTCAGTTTTAAATTCATTTGAAGTGAATAGATATGGTTGGTAACTGTATACATTTACTCGCCAGTTGAAGTGACTTACAAGTACTGGAAACTCAAACATAAATGTTGCTGTTCTCTGCACATTTTCCTTGTTATTTATTTATCGTTTGACAAAATGAGAGACAAATATAGTGAAATCCAAAAACATTATATACAACAGACCCAAAAACAGTTGTAACAGATGAACTGGTATAAAACTTTATTGATTGTGGGTAGCAGATACTGGCTGTCAAAAACATCTATATAATCTACTTTTCGATATTGATGATGATAATAATAATAACTTGAATGAATGATAAGCCAAAACCTATTCCAATATTTCATAATTAGTTTTGAGAATTACTGACTACAAAAATAAATTTACATTTCAAATAGCTGTTATAAGTCACTATTGAATCTATTTAAAATATGCTTATTTCATTAAAATTATTTAATGTTATTCACTGACATTTTTTGTTTCTCTCTTCAATACAGACTGAATCAAATAAAGCAGATTTACCGGAATTCCCGATTAAATTAGCACTACTTGGTAAACCTTTATGTGGCAAAACAACTATAATAAGCCAGTTAGAAAAGAGTAATTGTCTTTTCTTTTCTTTTTACAATTTCAATGAATGATTATTAATATCCATAATAATAATTTTCTTAATATAATTTGATCATATATTTCTTGTTGAGTATACCAACAGTTGATTAGTTTTTGTCGTGGAAATAAACTTTAGTTAAGATGTCAATCAAAATATCGGGTACAAATAGTCATTAAATTGTATTTGGATGTCAAAAATTTACTTACGATGCTATAATATCCTTATCACTATAAATCTATTTGGTTTTATGAAATAGTCAAATCATATATCGTGTAGTTCGATACATTGATAATAGACCAATAAGATGGTAAGAAATTACAAGTGGAATTTAGCATTTGATAGAGTTCATTTGCAGTTAATTTGAAAATACGGTGTTATGATTTACTTAACCTAACCGAAAGAGTGACAGTTTGACAACTATGGACATTCTCAGTTCTAAACTAATCATGACTCTGTCTAAATTGTCCAAATGATATTAAGCATGAATCTTGATGATCAAACCTGGTTTAAATATGGACTAAAACAATAACAATTGTAAAGAAAGTCTTTTACTCTTCTTAGTATATTCATTTAATTTGATAGTGGTCATTGTTCTAAGGAAAGAATATGTTTCTGAGATGAATTATTTAAGAATGTTAATTTTTTGTAACTGGATAAAGATGGGTTTTTTTTACAAATCTTTATCACTATTTAACTGAACAGAAACTATGTAGTAATGAGTGTGTGGTTAATTTTAATTTAAGATATTCTGGGGGTAATTAGCTGTTAACATTGTTGCATAATCATGTCTAAAGATATCGTATCTTATGTAATGGTAAAAATAATAACAAAACAAATGAAGTTAAAAAAAACTGCTGACCACTGTATTCTGGCTTAGTGAGTAAATGATAACTGTTGTAGTCAGTGTTATTGGGTTCCGCGACATTCAAAAATGACGTGAAACAGTTGCTTAATTTTTTATGATTTTATTTATTACTTCAGTTTTGGAATAAAGACGTACTGGTTTCTTTAAATTACCAAAATCCAATACTAAGCATTTAAAAGTCAATAAGCATATTTCCATTCCTTACACTTTAATACATTTCCAATTTATGTGATTGTCACTTCTAGATAATAGATGTGTTGGAATCAATCCATACAAACTTATAGAAGAGGCATTAAAAGCTTATGAAACTAAAGAAACTGACGAATGTTCCAATACACCCATTGAAAGTTCTAAATTAGCTGAAACAGAAACCTCTTCAACGGTCACAGTACGTTAATTAATTTATCATGTTGTAAAAGAATGTTTTTTTTAAAAAAGTAAACTGTAGTTACTAATTATGATGATACTGTTTTTAATAATTTTCCCAAACAAGATCTATCCAATTTTTAGTTAGGTCTTTTTTCATTTTTCCTTCATCAATGTCTAGTCTTTTCGTCATTTTTCCAATACAAACTACATATAACTCAAAGAAGTAAGTTGAAATAATGGCTGATTCCAGTGCTGATTTTGCACGCATCGATCAATATTAAGTTTTTAAAAGATGATTCAAAAATTTGAAATAAAACAGTGATGATGATCCTTTATTTCCTCAAACCAGTATCTTACAACCTTAAAAATAAGGAAACTGTGAGGAAAATCTATCCGAAAAATCCTAGACATCGAATTCCATGGATAGGGTAATGATTATGTTTCCTTTTTAGTATGTAAGATAATCAAAGGTGCACACAACCATACTCCTTTGTTGTCAAACATACAAGGGAAACAAACCGTAGAATTGATTTTAAAGTTGTTTTTGAATCCTTATTTGATACTAATAGCTCTAATTTTTTAGGTTTATAGAAACCTTGTCAATCAGAAAGTTTATGACCTTTTGTATGTTTTCAAAAACAATTTGTGTTGGTAATGCTTAGTCTAGGGTGGTATGTAAATCATGAATTCTTTCTGTTACATACTCTCCCTCTTCTTTGTGGTTCCGAGCTTTATTCGTTTTCATATAAAAATTAAATGAGTGATCGGATTCTTTACAACATCAGCTAATATACTACTTTTTCAAATCAATTTTACCTTGTTATACTATTCAGATTCGCACGACAATAGGTCTTTCCCAACATTTACGACCTGTTATATATACTAAAAACGTATTTGTCTACTAAAAGGCTGTAATAATATACAGAAGTTCAGATTTTTGTTCTGGTATTGTCTGATAATTTATGCCATATCATGTGTTCTTTATGATTAGATCTCAAAAACGTAACTGTGCTAAACGCTCTTTTGAATTGAATTTTTCTGCAATTTCTATCTTTTAATACTAACAATAACAATTCAAAAAAATCTTCACTTTCTAGTCTGTTAAATTAGTCTAATAATAAATTTAATATTTCAGCTGTCAGCTAAAGCGAAACTCGGTGAAATGTTATGGAATGAACTAAAAGTTGGAAAAGAAATCTCCGATGATCTTTTAGTTGACTTAGTATACGCAAAAGTCAAGTGAGTCAATTGATTATGTTTATTTTCGTGACAACTTACACTATCTAACTGAAGTTTGTCTTAAAGGATATTGAACTGGCATTGAAACAATTAATCCATTATACATTCACTAAACCCCATTACATAAGTAAAAGAAAGCTGTATAACTGTACTTAACACAGTTATAAATGACATTTTTTAGGAAGTTTCAGGGTTTATCACATCCCTTCCGTAGTAAATAATGACTGACTTTAAATGACTTTAAATGCTAAATAAATGTAATCTAAACATGTTTTTGAAGTTTCAGCAGTTTAGTTGTTTCCTGCTTGTGAACAGGTTTTATTTTCTAGGTAAATCACACTTTGTTTGAATACCTTTGGTCAAGTCCTTACACTAGCATTAAACTGTTGAAAATCGGAAAATATTAAACACTTGTCTCGTCCTAATTTGGGACTGGTCATCAATGCATACCAAAGACCTCGTGTGTGGTCGGAACGGCGATGATTAATGCCCACGGTAAAAACATTACTCTTAAAACACCAACTCAAAATTCAATGAATCAGACTTCCAACTTAACTGACAATATAACTTGATCATCATCCAACCTCATCAGTGATATCTGTCCCCACTACCAGCATCGTTAAACTGTATCAGTAAGAACTTCTAACCAGAATTCAAGGGATTTTCCAAGAGGTTAGCCACTACTGAACTTGACTTATATTAAGTTGTATGATTATTTCAGCTGTGACATCTTCAATTAATTTATTTCCATCGAAACAGAATAATTTACATTTTAATTCCTTACATCTTAGCAACAAATGACATTGTGCAATTTAGGCGCTTCGATATACTTGACGTTTTTTTATTATTTATTAGAACTTTTGTTTACCAGTCGAATATGTATGTCCACTCAACTGGTAATAATAACTTTTAAAGTATCACCATATATGTTATTGGAACTATTGTCAACACATTTTGCTATTCGTGCCAGTGAATCTGCAGACGTTTAGGCTGAAATAACAACCATATGTGCAAAATGAATGACCTACAAAACCTTATATTATAATCTCCTGTGTTTTACGATAGATCTAATAACACTTCCTTATGAGTTGGTATTTTGCATATAAATGTGTCTTTTACTGGAAAGAAGAAAATGTGTTTGCCGGTTACATTAGACGCTTTTTAATGTTGGTTGATTTAGGGAGTTTGAATCGATATTTAGTCTCGTTATGCTCTCATTGTGCTCCACCCATTACTCACTACTATTATAAACATTTTGAAAACCAAAATGAATTCATGAAAAACCTGAAAACCTCCTCCGTGACGGGTAATAAGTGAAAAATTGTTGATGAAAGGCGTTAGTATTGTACTGTATTAAAAGTGTATAAAATACAACGGACAAACTCTATGAACTTATGTTGACACACACAATATTTGAATTCTCATAATTCCAAAGATTGACTACAACGACTTTACAACCTACCCAAAGCAAAATCTCGCAAATCTTATACCATCTACCATATTCAGTTATCTTGTAATTATTTTGTTATTATATATGTGAAATATCTATATAAGTTTCTTTTTATTCTTATAGTATTTTTGTCTTAATTTTTTGCTTCTTTTCCCACCAAGAACTCTTGAACCAACAACTGGTTTTATACTAGATGGATTTCCAACAAATTATAATCAAGCTAAATTGCTGGAACAAAAATTAACCGGAAACACAACGGCAACGGATAACAACTCATCGAAAAACATTTCACTACTTCTAGACGTACAAAACCCAACAGATTCGAAGTTAAACAATGGTTTAGATTTGATTATTTTACTAGATATATCAGATGAATTAATTTTAAAACGTATAGCACATACAACATTATCCAAAACAGTATTGAATGATTCTTTGACAAAATATACAACCGCTGAAGAAATACCATACAATAACCAAGTTGATATACAAACGAATACATCATCTAATCAAATTCATTCTATGTATATTAATTCAGAAATGGACGAAAATCAGAATTCAACTTATTCCAATAATTTTAATTATTCTTCATACATTTTACAAGAAACACAGGGTAATATACCGGAACGGTTAGTTAATTTCATTCAATCTTGGCCAAAATTGTATAAATTTTATCAAAAACAAAATTCAAATTTACGCGTTGTTCATTTAACAGATTTATTACATAATACAAAATTTTATCATTATGATTTAGAAAATAATGATGAATCGATGAAATTAGCTGTTTATTTAGAAATTGAAAGACAAATTGAAGAATTTATAAAACATAAAGAAAACATCTCTTTAATTAAAACAAAGCCTATTGAACAGATGGAATTCACTGGAAACGATCCAACCGTTGTAATAAATGTTGGTGAAAATACTGAGAAGGAGAATGATGATGAGAAAGAGACAGACAGTAGACGTACATTGTTTGCAAGTTCTACCATAGGATCAACTGATAATGATGATCAAAATGAACATATTAATAAAGTAAGTCTTATTTAATAATAAGAAAAATGAATATAAAAATGTTTTTAGTTCAACTTTGAAATTCCATTGAGTACATCTTATCATTTAAAAGGCTCAAGTTATTCTGAATGTGACTTAATTATTCAGAGTTCGAAGCTGCATATTCAGAGAAACGATCAAAGTACTATAAATGCAGAGATTTATAAAGAGAATTTTATTTTAATTGAATTACACATCTAACGCGAACAGTATGTCATAAAATAACCCGTTAAAGGTATTGTGGTAGACCTGACTGGACTATTGTAGCAATTATTAAGTTTGTCGTTCTATTTTATTTTCTCTACTTATAGATGGTTATAATCGATTCGTTAAGAAGTAGGGAATGACCTTAACTACATCGTTTATACACCAACAAGATGTTTACTTAGAATTAAAAGTTTCCGGCTAACGCCTTTCATTGCTGTAATACGTGTGGAAAATGTACTACCTAAATAATTTTTGAACTAGAACCCTTCAAACAATCTAATATCCCCTATATCCTCAACACAATATCATTATCTATATCAAACTGATCCTGCCTGTAAATTCATGAGTTTTGTAATTATTTTCAGAAAATATTATATTATTTATTACTATTAATTACATTCATTCATTTCGTTAAGATCCATAATTTTAATGCCTACTCAATGAGTCCTGATAGGTTGATGCTGAAATGCATGTAAGAATTGCTTAATTTAAATACTAGAAGGATCATCGAAGAGCAAGTTAACTACTTTGATGACGATAAATAATCAGAACAACGTTCAGCAGATTATAGATTCATATATATTTAACAGAGATGAAAGTTAATAAATGATCATAGTCTTTGTTATACCCAGGATGCTGCACGTTCCAGTGTGAACAGATATAGAAAATGATTTATTTCTCTTACTAGTTATCCGTGATTACAATTAAGAACAATTATCCAACGACACAAGGATGATAGTTAGCCTCACATAATCTAACTCTTGAATTGTGTATTTACGTCATGATTTAATACAAATACTAGTCATCATTTCCATAAGATTCATAAATAAAAAAATACGGAACGTAATTTGTAACCATCAGATAAATTTATCTTTTGAGACCCTCAGTTGACATACCTTGAGGTATGTCATGGTCATTTTTTTCTTTGTGCTTCATCAAAAGTTAAGTCACGTAACAGAATAGAAGATAGCTTGCACAAAACAAATGATTGATTGCTCAAAATGATTCAGCGAGATTAAAACTTCGAAAAGTAGCCAGCTAATCAGAGAAAGAGGATTGAAACAAACCATAACCCATATCACCTGTAAAATATAAAACAAATATGTAATTACTGAGATTACGGATACATAAGTACTCTCAGTTAATGTTCATTTAACCCATATTCTCTGTTGAATGTGATACATCTATAAAAATAGACACCATTAGTTTTCTTGAAATTTCTTTCACACTCTAAATCATTGGTTGGGAAAGCAATCTTATTTATAAAACTATAATCACATCAGCTAGTGTCCGACAAAATTGTACATGCAGTTTGTTCCACCAAACCTATGTATTTTCTAGACATTAGTAAGGGCTTCCAATGCATATAAATATTTTCTCAACACAACTTTAGGACAAACACTTGTTTCCTTCCCTCGATCTTCCACATTCTACTAAGCGCACTATTTTGAGATGGTGGAGAATATTTGTAGCTCAGGTGTATGATTTTGATGGAACAAAACTCCATCACAAGCGCACTATTTAAAACTATCTAAAGTGAACCTATATAATGTTTTGTCAAATAGCCAAAATAAATAACTCTTCCTACCTTTTATAACACAACATTTCATAAGTGAAGTACAGACAATTTAATATAAATTCAGCTATAGAATTCATTCCTTGCTGATTGACATTTAAGACACATTGACTTGACCACTCATGCTAACACTACTGTTAAAGTGAGCCAGGGTTATCAGGTTTATTGCTTTTCTGTAATCTAACTTAAATATACCATCAGTAAAATAATAGCTTAAATTTAATTCCATATTCTACATTTATGAGGAATAAAAATTATTGACTTAATTGTTCACTTTAGTCATTTACTTTTGTATCCATCGTTTATTTTTAATCATTATAGAAATCAGATTTACAGGATTATAACATAAAAGACGACAAGTTGAAAGCTAGAGATGGTAGCACTAACTCACTACGTTCGATTCAACGTCCTGTAACAGCTAAAACTTCATCTAGTGGTAAAAACTCTACAACTTCTAGGCAAAGTAATCGTAGTAAAAAAGAGGGAAGTGCTGAAAGTCAAAGAAAAACAGGTGATTTATTAATCATAACTAGTAGATATATTTTTTACTTACTTTTCAGATATTTTATATATTAAAAGTTACCCATCTGAAAAATGAGTAATCGATAAATATTCAGTTAAAATGCTATTAACTTAATTTCATGAAGAGATAGGTTTTTCTTTGTTTTTTCAACTGGGTTATTTACGATTGGGATATGAACATGTTGGATAAGTGACATTAAATGTAAAATTATATTTGTAATCATAACCTTAGTGGTTGAAATTTAAATAGTTATAACGTATCGATCACCAATCTGGACTGAACTTCTTCAATGGGATCGGCGCTAGAGCTGAGGCAGCACTAATTGATTAGATCCCCATTAACAGCCGGTTATGTGCTGTTAGATTAGAAAGTTCCATCAAAGTGAGAAGAAATCAGCGTGAGAAACGATGTCTCTTCGTCATCTCCGCCTATGCCCCGACAGATTGCAGCCCGGATGCAATCAAGGATGAGTTTTACCACCAGTTAACTGTTCTTCTCCAAAAACTGCGTTCGACAGATATTGTAGTACTAGCCGGAGACTTGAATGCTCAGGTCGGGCATCTAGGCACAGAAGAGAGTCGTTTAGATGGCCGATGGGGACTTGTTGGTCACAGGACAGATAACGGGAACCGTCTACTGTAACTGTGCGCAGACAACAACCTGTTTCTGGCTAGCACTGACCTTCGGCAAAGTCATCGCCGATGTGCCACCTGGCCTCCTCCCTCTGCATATCAAGCCTGGACTCAGATTGATCATATCGCGATCAGCTACCACTGGCGTGGTTGTGTACGAGACTGCCGCTCCTTTTGGAGTACCTATCTGGACTCTGACCATGCCTTGGTCTGCGCCAATCTTACCTTACTTTTCAGTGGACAACGAAGTGACCGCCACCAAAGGATTGATGTTATCAAGCTGGTTGTAACTTCTGTTGCTAGTAAGTATCGAACCGAGCTAGCTTCTAGGCTAGCTACCATTCCACCGAAAACTATAGATGAGCATTGGTTGCAATTACATGACGCCATGAAAATGGCGGGTACAGTCAGTTGTGGGTTTGCGAAATGTCCCGCTTTTAAGCACTGGGTTTCTTCTGGTTCCTTACAACTCATAGAAGCCCGTCGGTCTACTCCGGGTGACCGTGAGTTTGACCATAAACGAAGGATTTTACGTAAGGAAATCGGGCAAAGCTTGCGTAAGGACCGAGAAGCCTGGTGGTCGATGCGTGCTAATGAGCTGGAAGCAGCAGCTGCATCTGGTAACTACCGGAAGCTCTTCCAACTCATCCGAGCCACTGGCAGCAAGAAGTCTGGTGTGAGTGAAACAATCTGCGAGGATGATGGGATGCCAATCACTAACATCCATCGACGTCTTGGACGATGGGCAGAATTTTTTGAAGGGCAGTTCAACTGGCCTGCTGCTCCGGCAACATCGGTCAAACTGTCCTGCCCTCCATGGCCGGTGACGACTGATCCACCAAACGAGGAGGTAGTCCGCAAAGAACTCCAACTCTTGAGGCGTTACAAATCACCTGGCCCAGATGACTTACCTCCGGCTCTTTTTAAAGATGGTGGTGACTTTCTGACTAAGGAATTGACGACGTTGTTTACAAAGGTCTGGGAGCTAGAGAGTGTACTCACGTCATAGAATGAGTCGGTAGCTGTCCCTATCTTTAAAAAGGGTTCACGTCGTTCCTGTAACAACTATCGTGGGATAAGTCTACTTCCGATTGCGTCCAAGCTATTGGCTTCCGTCATACTTCGTAGGTTGTTCAAAACCCGAGAAAGATTGACTCGCGAGGAGCAGGCTGGGTTTCGTTCTGGTCGAGGATGTATTGATCATATCTTCACCTTCCACCAAATGTTAAAACACCGTCATACTTATCAAAGGCCAACAATCGTAGTGTTTCTTGACATCAGGGCTGCCTTCGATTCGTTGGATAGGACTGTTCTCTGGGATTGTCTATTGAAGAAGGGTATGCCTGAGAAGCTTATTAACATCCTAAAGGCCTTATATACAAACACCTCAGGCAGAGTGAGGGCATACAACCACCTCTCTCCATTGTTCCATTCGAGCAGTGGGGTTAGACAGAGTTGCCCAATCTCACCATTCCTCTTCAAATTTGCCACCGATGACATTCTGGAAACAGCTCTGATGGATGCAAGTAATGGTGGCGTGGATCTGTTGCCTGGAGAAAGACTTCTTGACCTTGAGTATGCGGATGATATTGTCTTACTGTGCGATAATGCCCAAGGCATGCAATCCGCACTCAATCAGTTGGCAATCAGTGTCCGTAGGTATGGTATGTGCTTTGCACCTTCGAAGTGCAAAGTACTTCTACAAGACTGGCAGGATTCTAATCCTGTACTCACCCTGGATGGTGAGCAGATAGAAGTAGTCAAGAAGTTCGTGTATCTAGGTAGCTGCATAAGTGCTGGTGGTGGTGTGAGTGATGAGATCAATGCACGTATAGTGAAAGCCAGAGCGGCTTATGCCAATCTGGGCCATCTTTGGCGCCTTCGTGATGTTAGTCTGGCTGTAAACGGTCGGATCTACAAAGCGTTGGTGAAAGAAGTCTTGCTCTATGCTTGTGAGACCTGGTCTCTCCGAGTTGAGGACGTTAGACGACTCTCTGTGTTCGATCATTGCTGTCTCCGAAGGATTGCTGACATTCAGTGGCAACACTATGTTAGTAATACAGAGGTTCGGCATCGTGTGTTCGGGTACAGAGATGATAATGCAATCGATGTCACCATCTTGAAACACCGACTTCAGTGGCTTAGACATGTTCTACGAATGTCGTCCCAGAGAATTCCACGTCGTGCATTATTTGCCGACTCTGGGATTAGTTGGAAGAAGCGGAGCGGTGGTCAGTGCATGACATGTTGTCGTGGCATGAAAGAAAGCTGCAAAGGACTTGCTTCTGGCGGTCCTTCACGACTGCCTGGTCGGGGTCCGAGAGACGGTGCTACACAGTGGCTAGAGACGTTATCAGATATGGCTTAGAATAGAAGCCAGTGGCGATCCTGCTGTAACCTTCTTTTACTTTCTTCATAAAAAATGGTTGTGTCTCCCTTAACTGAAAGATTTCTTCTGATTGCACCTTTCCGTTCCTCATTATTACTAGTATTATTACTACACTACCTTACACCAACCTCTTCGCTATCGTTCTCTTTCTTTTTTTTCCTTTCTCTTCGAGTTCTCATTGTTTTGTGTGGCGCATATATAATGGCGCTCTCTTGTACCAATATTTATGTGTTCAAATAAATAAATGGGATCATCAGGATCCTCGAAAAAAGATAAAGTGATAAGCAACTCCGTTCTCTCATTAATATCTATAACGGAACGGACATTTTAAACGTAAATTATCACTGAACTAGAGTAAATTTGTTATTTCTTAGTTCATGCATTTTTTAAAGTTGCTATCATTCCCAAAACCTTTTATGTTGATTTTCTTTATTAGTGGGAAGTAGATCTCCATCAGCAGGACGAAGTACCAAAGACAGACGAATAAATTCAAATGATCGTGACAAACAATTGGAATCAGTTCAAAAAGATAAAGCAAGGAGTCGTTCTGGTAGCGAAAAGAAACAATCAAAGAAAACGAAGTTGAAATCTACTGATTCACCTCAATCAATTAAGGAAAATAATAAAGAACAAACTGTTACTTCACAGCCAGATTTGCCACAACCTGGTGATGAAAATTATCAATTCGTCGAGTTGCCAGTTATGAATGTTAGTTTCACTTTTAAAGTAAAATTTATAGTGTTTTATGAAGTATTCCAGTCCTCAAAAAGTCATTTAACAATTAGGCGATAATTCAATTTTATTAGATTCTTTACAAACCACGGCTCCTATCCTTTCACCATCAGTGATAAAGATTAGGTCTTCATTGCGGTTTATAATGCTAGTGAATTTTATTTGGCTTTTTTAAACTTGATACCAAGACAGTTGTCAAAGTCAGCAACTTGAACAAAGTAGTATCCACCCATACTCATTGAAAACAAATTGACAAGTTTATTAATATTATTACTGAACATAACGCTACGTGATAGCGACAAGCCATCATTACAAATAGAAAAGTAAATGATTTTGATAGATAATGTAAGCATCGAAGTGTTTGATAAACATTTAGCAGACAATTTTGCTTTAAGAAAGATATCCCTCCTATAAAAATTAGCTGTTGTTTTTACCTTCAGTTTTTCTCTAGTCCATTCTTCGAATTTTATTTGTTTTATTATTTTCTCCTACCAGGAATCCGCCCATATATTATGGAAATTATGGGATAGCACGGAAACTATATACAATCAGAATTTGAAGTTGATTTTCCGCCAAATGCGTTATCTAAATTCAAATATTATACCACATATGTATCACATTAAACAACAGTTTTATAACTATTTATACAGACCTGATTCGAAACAACATTTCCTTAACCAATTCATTAGTGTAAGTTATATTTTAAAGACAGGTGACAGACCAATCACTGAGTCGCTTTTACCTTTTCAAACTATTTACAATTATTAATTATTGGTCCCCAGACTAGTTATCATCACTACTGATTGGTTAGTCTAAGATTACTGAAAAATACATACCTTGAATCTAAAGGTTAAGAAACTATCGCCTGCAATCTCCCGAATGTAATTGATCTAACAGTTTCGACTTTGTTAACAGATGAATCTATGACATTCGTCACATCAAAGTCTTATCTGTGTTGCTTTTGAAAATAATAATGATATACATTTTGAACATAGTCACGGAATGTACACTAATTTATAGGGCTGATCAGGTTGATACAAAATACAGACAACATTTTAAAGGGATAAGTATATTATTTGAAAGCATGAGGTTTACAAACTATTTTAACTGAACATTTGTCACCAAAGTGATAGTAATGTCAGTAATAAGATATGACACTATTTTAAAGTACAACACTCCATCTATAATGAGTAGCTACCAGTCTTCATAATCGTATTTTTCTTTCATAAGTGGTGCGTGGAAAACGTAGGGAAATGACATAACTGCAACTTCATAACCGATACGAACTATTACTTAGGAATCAGTATTTTCTTAATAGAAGCAGTAAGACGCCTTGCTTGTGAAGAGGGAAAATAAAGAGTGTAACTCGAGGCATTTTCTGTTCAGTTATGGGGTATATTCAATCATTTACAACTAAACAGAAGACAAAAGCCGAGAGCACGAAACAGCAGCCACAAAGTATTACTGTCATAGGTCTCTCGCCATGCATAATAATGAATCTTAACGTATCGATTTACGTAGATTTTCAAGCTAATCAACTGTTCTAAACAAATCCTTGCAAGAAAGAAGTAAATGATGAAAGTAGGGTAAGGTATGAGATTATTAAAGTATAACGCCCATCTCTTCATAATCTAACCTTGTGGTTGGGGAAGGGCACAAGATATCAATCTGAAAGAAAGTTTTACGGTTATGTTCATGAATAACAGTCTCGGAAATTTCATTCGTAGGTCGTAATATAATTGTTGGCTTATGCACTAATAAGACCGAATCAGAAGCGAAAAACTTTCGATCTGCCATATAAACTATGATAATGAACGTATTTCGCCGAGACAATGTGACAGATTGTTCTAGATCCTCAAAATTTTACTTACAAAGTTGGAATATATTCCATAGAGGATCGAGTTCTAGCTGAATGTATCTAGAATTATAGTCTAATATATAATCGTCCCTAACATTACAACGTGTAAACTGAAGCTAAACAGATTGTAATCTAAGTTTAACTTTAATGTGAACACTACCCAGAGCAAAGTTTCAGTTTTTTAACTTTGCACAATAAAATACGTGATCCATTGTTGTGTCAGTTACTCAGTAGACAGCCCAGAATTCGTGATAACTAAGATATTTGTATTGTGACTTGGTCTGAAGAACAAAAATTATGGGAATATCTGAGTTTCAAGTCTACCACTTAACGAAACCCATGTGGCTCTATGGTTTTTATGATGAATTTAAAATTAAGATAAGTGTCATCAATGCAGATTCAACTACGCTTATCAGTCCTCATTACCGAGTTCCATTTTAAATACCGTAAGGTGACCTTTCTGAGCTCAGTTCTGAAATCATTTTAAATACGGGTAAATATGTGAGCAGAAATTGAACTCACTTCCTTGAGGTCACTTAAATACAGATAGAGTTTATTCTCACTGAAGCAATTACAGATATCATTTGAATAGGCTGCCAGCATCTTAAGGCCATAAACACTACTTTGCATTTTTCCATTTGTAATAGGATTACCATTCATTGGAAATTATTTTATTTTAGCTATTTGGCATTGATGACCGAGAAGAGAATTCACCCACAAAAATATAAATGATTTTTGAAGGTTAAACAAAAGACAACAAAAGGAAACATGAGCCAACAACTGAGTAGGCTGATATGATTCCTTTGCACCTATGAGTGAGGAGGATCTTCAGCAATAAATGATGCAACAACGTCACTTCATGACTAGCAAATAGGGAAACTTAAAAATAGATTCACTTTTGTTGTATCTTACCAATAATGTTGATTACTGCTATTGGTATGGATACTGTTTATGGCTGCAAAATAATGCTTTCTGCCACTTTCCGACAGAATAAGACCAAAGTAGTTCGATGAAATGAGGAGAGCATGACAGTTAAATGAAGATTTATTTATGAGGAAATAAGTGGTTTAAACGACATTCAAAATAATAGTGAAATATATCATTTTAAATGTTCGGTCAATAAACAAATTTGAATGCATTGAACTAGTAATTATTCAGTTATTTAATGTGTAAACAATTTATAAAGGGCTTTGAATAACATACAATTAAATTACTGAGTTATATATATTATTCCTTCTTAACACGTCGAACTTTTAATTGAGTTCGCTTGAGTGAGGTTTTCTGTCGGAAGTGTCAGCATATCCTTTTAACTCCTTGCTCTTTTCAAGCCGCTGGATATAACGAGTAATACATAAATATATGCATTTTTCATCTCAATATTCAACAGACATTTAATTCTCTAATGAATGAAATGCGTTCAGATAAAGAGACCAAAGCTGATTTACATTGTCGAACAGATGATCTGCGTGATACTTTATATGAAATCATTGATGAAACAAAACAAGCTAATGAAGATCGTTTGAAAATTCTACTTGATATACCTGGTTGGTTCACAGATCATCAAAGATTGTTGATTAATTTATATTTATCATTATTTCAAATTGAATTAACACGTTTTCAAGAGAATGCACAATTAGTAAAGGATTATTATAAGTAAGTTCTTGAATAAATTAGTTTGATTAATTTCTGCGGTTTAGTTTTCTAGAAGTTTCATATTCAGTGTACATTTTTTGTAGACAATTCAAATTAACTAAACCCATTAACTTATATATGAATGAGGAAAATGTAACAAAGTACAACGGTTTAATCATTTTTAGCTATGTTGACATATCTAACCCTCGTACTCTTCAGCAATTAGCATTGATCAGATATTAACGATACTTTAAAAGCTCAATTCGTCTTTCGTTTACGAACTTACTTAGTAAAATAAAATATACTGTTACATAATATCCCTGTTTGTTGGGTAAATGCTGACATTGTTGATCTCGAGAAGTAGTATTATTTGACGACTGCAAACAAGACCTTCTAAACTTATTAAGAGGTGGTAGTAATTATTTCTCAAATCCTTGGATAAGCTTTCTCAAAACAGCTTAGTTAATCAGTGCCTTTTTCAACTTCCTACTTATTATAACACCTATTTACAGACTAACTAGAATCCCTACCCACGTCACAACTGTTTGACTAACCTTAATTGAGTACAAGAACTAACATTTAGGTAAGGCTTCAGCTGTTTTTTTTCTTATTTTTACAAGATTCAAATGGCTAAGAAAACTGGTCTCTATAAGTAATTCTTGCAGTTGTTTTCATTAGAATTTGGTTCCCAAACGTAATACTATTCATAAGTCTTTATCCATTTGCAAAAAATTGTCATTGAGAACCTTTTTGTAAAATACCAAACTAGTATTAAATAACTACTAAGATCAATAATTCTTCAACTGATATGATTCTAAAATTGCCTTAATCTTATTCAATTAAATTTCATTTACATTATCTTCACAACGTCCGAAACCTAACTGTCAGACAGCAAAAAATACGATTTTTATAATCAGTGTAAATGCACTTTCGTATAACTTAGTGACCCAGTAGATCGTGATGACACTCCAAAATGAAACAGATACAATTTCCAAAGGTAAAATTATTTCAATTTCCAGATCGTATGAGTATTAACATTAGTGAAAAAGGTATCGGTTTTAGATTTCTTGAAACAGTATATTGAACGGAAAGTGAATTTGTGTTGTATTTTATTAATGAGATTCGTAATCATCAAATTACTTTATGGGACTGAAAGCAGTTTTGTGAGCCTGATTTAAGAACATACTTTTACAACCTCATGGCTATAAATTTACATTTACATTAATAAAAAGGGACATTGTTTCACAGGATAAGGTCTGGTACTTCCAACCTATTTGAACTTCACGATGGCAAGAAATGAATTATTACTTTTTTAAAGGTATTAACCATCACAACCCTCCTTTTATGTCATAGATAAATGATAAAAGTAAAGATAGTATCACAAATAAGATTGTTGATTTACACCTAAATGTTTCAGATATATAATTTGTAAATAATCCGAGTAGATGAACTCAAAGTTCGTTTAGTTAGTGAAAATTAACCCAGTATCTTATAATTCACAGTTAATAACAACTCTGTTACATATCAATTTCAGCGTTATGGAAGCTAGACCTCAAACGGTTGAAAATGAATCGATTCAAGCTTTAGCGGGAACAATCGACGCAAGTCACATTGAATATACACGAATACCATTAATTAAAGTGGGTTTTCGTATATATATCATCCCATTCTTTGTTAAAACGATTGCTAGAAAATGATCTGTCATTGCCTGTTATCAAGTGATGTTTTAAAAATAAACTATTTTTAACTAAGAACCAACTTCAGTAGGAATATCTGCAAAATTCAGGTATTGAGTGTATGTATTATTTTAGCTTTAGACTAGAACCTACGATCCTATGCAAGATCGAACTCTGAGCCACCAAACTTCACGTCCAGCAAGACAACTATAAGCCATAAAAGTTTATTACACAAAAGTGTAACTTATCGCCAGTTTACACTAATTCACATACTTTTCATCAACAAACATCCTGGTAGAGGTTTATATGTCATACAACTTCATGATTCCTTTCAAAATTAGAAGAGATACTCTTATTTTTGTTGTAAATATTTCTGAAAGACTACCTATTTCCTGAAAGTCAGGAGCAACAAAGTCCTTTATTTAAATTATTGGTAGCTTCATAAGCACAGGTAAAGTTTCATTAATGTCATAGTTAAAAAACTATAATCATTAAACGGCTAGTAAATAATAAGAAAGAATTAGTGGGTGGTATTATAAGTAACTGTTATCGAACTGATGTTGGCAAATAACGAATAATAAGCTTTTTATTCGATAAATCAACACCTAGAATACTCCTATCAAAGCTCGAAAAACTTTATTCAACATCAAATTCAAGAAATTCAACGTTTCGTATGACTCATACAAAAAAATTACAAAACAGAAATTAAAAGCACTTAATTTCTACCAGTTGAGATCATGAGTCAATTGTAGCTAGACCATCGTGGGAAACCTGGAAGCACTGGACGGCCGTTTCGTCCTATTATGTGACTCCTCAGCAGTGCACATCCACGATCCCGCCTCGTGAGATTCGAACCCAGGACCTATCAGTCTCGCGTGTGAGCGCCTAACCACTAGACCATTGAGCAGGCATCTAAATTCAACTAATCCACGAAATCGAGCGACACATTCACCATTGTCCTCAGTGAATTATTATCTCACAACAGACCCGGTTGAACTCCACTGGTCGCTGCTTCTAACTAGAACTTCAGGAAATACCTCTTGAAACTAGTCACTAGTGAGCATATGTTGTAATTTCTCCTTAATTCACTGTTTCAGAACTTTTTCTACAAGTTTTGTTTTGTGATTGAACTCTTCAGTATTTTCCTTTGCTTGAAAAATAACAATAACTTCTTCATACATTATCAGTTTTATATATTTCATCAAAAATTCCTTTCATTTTTTTAGCTTCCTGATGAAATTGTCGAAAATGATGATAGTTCCGGATCGCGTAAAAGTACATCAACAAGACAAAATTCTTCAAGGTCTAGTTCAAATAAATTGAATAAATCTAAATTAACGGATTCAGGCAACACTGTTTTGTCAAAATATTCAACTCCAATTGATACGAAATTTGAAATTTTACCGAGTGAATTTCGTAGTCAAATTAATTTATTGAATCAGAATTCATCATTACAAGAAATATTTGCAGCATTTAGTAAAAGTCAGTATACAACCTATTTGTTGTTAATTTTAAAATAATTAAACTGCTCAATGCCTTATATATATATATATATATATATATATATATATATATATATATATATATATATAAGGTTACTGGGGATCTGTATCGTCGTACTTTGGGACTTCTCAGCTGATATCAATAATGAGAACTATCTTCGAGCTGGAAAACCCTACAAAACACTGTCTGCCTAAATAATAATCATATTCTCACTTGTAAATAACTTTGGGCTGTATTTAAGAGGCTACTGTAATAAGCGGTGACCTGTGGAACTAAACAATAACTGAATGGTATAGTTAAGTACGGATTGCTCTGAATACCGAATTGAATCAAGTCAGACGTGTGGACCAATTTATTTTGATTCATTGACTCAGTATCAACATACTCGCCAGTGCCATTGTACCAGTCAGTGTAAATTTGCTAAGAAAGCCTCAAATCATTTAGTTCTTACATTTTTAATAGATTATGGTTATGATGAACAAGAAAGCCCTCAGTAACGTTTTAACTCATATGACCTCAGCTATTATCTGATTGTTTGCTCCAGCTATTAAGTTCTCGTATGTGCTGAATTCCTATACTCTCTATTCAATCAAATGTGTATCATTTTTATTAAAGTACTGTGAGAAATAGAGTGTGTAGATCCATCTCGTGTTATAAGGCTTCTTCTATTAGTTCAGAATTCGAAATAGACGTAAGTCATCGCAGACAAAACAGCTGTTTCTTAATTTCAACTTCATTAAAATATCAAGTACAAAATTATTTTTTTGATAAATAATACTTTTTTGCCGTCACAGACAAAATGAATAGTGTTCTAAACATCATGATAGTACACACATTAATGCTTAAGATGAATTTCTCTTCCTCCGAACATAAACACTGTTTAGGAGCTGCTTGTGTGAACGTTCTATCCGTCAATCAAAAATGAACTAGCTCAGCGTATAGATCACTTCATTCATACCGGTTCATAATAACTCATCATAGACAAAACAGGCTCACACATTTGTCGCTTCACGTTACCTGTTAAATCTGATTTTCACGTTCAAGCTTCAGCTTTTATTTGTTTAGATCTTGTATGAAACTGCACTACTTACCAATACTCAGTAGCTCATTATGTCAAGCATTTTTACTTCTTTCATGTAACTCATGAAATTTTTGTATTTCAATAAAACACTTATCCTTACATACTTATATCTTAATGCTTGTAACTATTTTAGTACTCGTAGTGATATTTCTTTACCTTCTAATTGTTTGCTTCCCCTTTAGTATCCTAGGCCTTGAAACTGTCTACTATGAACTGTTGGCTTCTTTTCGAAACAGCTCTTAATTTCTGTTTCCCTCTTGACAAATCCATGATATCTTTTCTCATCTACAAAATATGTTTAATTCTTTTTTTATTCATCCATTTTAAAAATATAACTTCTTTTTAACTGCTATGCTGACCGCCTAATTAACGTCTAGACAGCTGATGAGATAGTGTTTTTAAATACCTAATGTTGACATTTTCCGAAATCTTTGGCCATTTCCAAACAAATATCGCGTTTTAGTTTTAGGATTTTATGTGCGAGTCACTCGGTGGGTAGGAAACCTCGAAAATTTTCTATTTCTTTTATAGTCCATATGATGTTACAGTCCACTGTTTTAACGTAAGTACAGTGTGCGATAGTTCACCTTACATTGCCACACAAATATAAAATAAGACTTCTAAAGATAGTGTAGTTTGATAGGGAGTTAGATTAATTTTCCAAGATGGTATTCACCATGGACTGACGTTAGCTGAGAAACTTTTGAAAATCGGGGAACATTGAACAGTCGTTTCTTTCTGGGGCTTTTTTTATTATTTTATTCTTCTCTCCTTAGTACAGATGGTTTACCTTTGATTAGTCAGACTATTTCAACCAATCCACCAAATCAGAAAGGAGCCAAATCTGGTGCTGTTAAAGCAAATTCAATTCAAGAAAAAGTGACCCTGACAAATCCAACTAATCTTCTTCTAGACAAACCGACTCCATCTACAGATCTATCAATTCAATTCTTATATAATGTATTTTTAGGTGTTATGCAAACTATTTTGAATCAGGTTGGCTGAACAAATAGTTTCTTAATTAACCACGAATTTTTTTTGAGTAATTATCAATTTAATGAAAAGTTATAATGAATATACGATTTTTAAAATATGCACATCCTTGTAATTTAAACTGATTACACAATATGAATCAATGCTACTTATTAGATATTTAAGAAGGATATGAATAATGATTTATGTGAAATACATTTCAAAATGAGATATTTTATTTAAACGTGCAAAAAATATGTATTTCACTCATTTTTCTTTTCCTACACAATAACATCATTACTAATTTCTTGAGCGTTCCGAAACGGTAACCTAAGAAGTAATTATGCATAAAATTTATGAAAATTCAGGGAATAATAGTACATTCTAACAAATGAATCGATTGTGATTGACAACAATCCTAACGTAGACGTTTTTCTGAAATTGGTTTAATTTGCAGATTATGTTTGTCTTAGATCGATCTTAGTTGATGTGTTATTAGAAATTATAGATTACTGGACAGCCGCTTCGTTCTGATTTCACACGCCCCAGTGTGCATCTGCCACTACACCGGAAATCGCACCCGAGACCTTCAGATCTCGGAGTGGATCACAAGTTGACCGAACTAGTTCCCGTACTAGAACGAAACATCTATCTATTACTCGTTAGTTCCTAACAATACTTCAAGTTGGAACGGTTCGTAAAAAATATAACCTACAAACCACCTGGTTTATGAAGGTTTCTGTTTATTTTGGAGATGACTTTCACTGTTAATTGACGTCACGGAAGAATCGATGAAAGCTAGGGATCGGGGAAGTCCGAATCATCCTAATTTCCAACCCTTCAGCAGTAAAGACCTCCGATCCAACACAAAGACGAACCTATGGTTTTCGAATTATTATAGTAACTTATGGGGATTTATTTAGTAAGTTTACAGCCCTTTAAGATTCATTCATCTAGCAGCCCGATGATGATCTTACAATTTTCTTGAGTTTTATCTAACAAGATATTTGATGCTAAATATTGATGAAAACACGCAAAACATTCAATAAAATGCTAGTGGCATAGTTATCACTTACGTCTGATGAAAGTTTACTTCAAGTTCAGTACTTATGAATGATGACCTCTTTAAAGATTCTGAAAAAGAAGACCCGTGGTTTTCACTATCGCTCCAAAGTGTGGGAAAATCTACGAACAGTCGAATCGTTTGATTCAGTTGTTGGAAACAGAAAATTTACTTTAAAAATCTTGACATTTGGTACGTAAATGTCTCAAGTTTGTAGATCTTTAGTTGTAAACTTAAGTGGAGCTAGCTATCATCGAAATTTGACCACTCAACTGCCATCGTAATCTTTGTCAATAATCCAGTCATTATCATGACCACTTTTACTCTCCTTTATGAACTGAATAGTTATGCAATATTCTTATTCTTCTCCATTTCATATTATCTACCTGAATGTTTACGGGTTACACACCGTTCGAACATTTCATTATTTTCGAATCACATGTTAACACTTTCTCTTTATTCTCAACCATATGCAAAATATTATAGGATGTATTCAGTAACTTGAAGTATTAGTTATCAAGGCCTTATACCCATTGGTTGACAAAGTGAAGTTGATAAACTGATTTCAATAACTTGAAAGACAATTAGTAAAAATCTCTTATAACACCTAAACTATATTTAGCTTCCTTAATAATGTTGTAGTACACCCAACAATGAATATTCTCATGTGGAATACTAATATGAAGATATTTCAATCTTTAAGTCACATTCTTTTTAAAATTGTGTAACAATTTATTGCATCAATATGAAGCTAAAGCGATTCATAAAATTTCTTAAATGTTTTTAAACATGAGTCTTGAAAGTCATTTAATTTTCATTTTATTTGTTTGCTTACTGATTATCTTGTAAGTAACTAAGTTATCTTAGTAGATTTTAGAACCACACACGAAAAAAGTATTAAATATATTATTTTATAGCTTCACCTAAAATGTATTCTTTTACTGTTCAAGGTACAAACAGAACGGAAGTCTAGAGCGAGTGAAGCTATGTTGGATGGTTATACAGTGGATTTATTGCTTAAGCCTACAGATACAAAAGGTGGCAAATTAAGTTCAGCAGATAAAAATAAAGGTGGGCAACCTCGTAAAGGACAAAGAAAATCGGTGGTACCTAAGGAAAAGGGATCTAAACCTGATGAACAAGCAACTACTCCAGGTCGTTTATTGCTTTAAAATTTACAGCACTTTTTTGATCATATATAGCTACTAAACTGCATTACGTACACTTTAGTATGAAAATACTTTACAAAATGCTTCTGACCAAAATGGTTGACTAAACAAACCAGTGCTCCAACAAAAATGATTTCTCTCCGCTATTAAATCCTATAAAGTAATGTTTACAACTCAGCAGTGGACACCCAGAACTCTATTTGAAATTAAAACTAGTATTCACTGGTGCCTTGAATTACATAATATCATCAATCCACTGAGTTGGTATCCAGTTAACTACATTTCTAACTAATTTAGTTTAACAAACGCTGGTGTGACTATTTGTCATGACTTAGTATCAACTGCTATTTCCTAATAATGATAAGTGAACAAAGACTGATAGGCATCGACACGAGGAAGACTGTAGATGAAGATTTTCATATTCGCTAACGGTAGATTCAGTTGATCAAAACCGCATCAAAAACACAGTGGATTTTGCAGAATTTACTAGCTTTAGCCAATAGTTAAATTCGAATACTTTGAATCGAGAAGCAGTTTGCATTGATTAATCATTGATTTAATGCATGTATACAATTCAAAAGATCAGTAGGTATATATATTTTACTTCTCCCTTACATCTCCCCTTTTTGACTGGACATGCATTAATAGGGATTCCTTTTGGGGAGAATCATTCTTAACATAGTTTTGGATTCAAGGTTAGGCTGGGTAACTAGTGGAAACCCGACCTAACCGACTTTATATGTCACGGGCCCACGTTAGAACTTGAAAATAATTTTGAAGCTAGTTACAGACTTACTAACTAACTGGTTGGTTAGGTCGAAATTTTTTTCGATTTGAAGTTAGTTTGTATCATGGACTGTTATCACCAGCTAAACTATCTTACTAACTTCTAATTTTATCTAAAATTGTTTAATATAAGTACTGTTGATGTATAAAATTATTATCAACCTAGATTGTTACAGATTGTACACCTCATCATGTAGTGAATTTACTTAGATCTCAACTTACCAATCTATAAAGGCTGTATCCTGGATAATGTAAAGGTAGTATTCTTTTCTTGATTGACTATTTGTATTTGATGTAATAAATGAGAGAAAGAAATCAAGAATTTTAATGCTCTTTAATCTAATTAAATGGTTTTTAATTATAATGATATAGAGTCACCTTCAGTCCTCTACACCTTCCCCAATCCCGTTTATAAAATTCATTACACTAATATTTAAGAATTTATCTACATATTATAGATCAATCAAATTAATTATGTTTTTAAAATGAATGTTCAGGTTTACTAAATGCAGTTTTTTTGCTTTTCTTCTTTTCATTCAGTAGAACCAACTGAAGAAGATCAAAAGGCTAGAGAAGTTAGGCAGCATATTAGAGAAGAACATATAGCTGCGCTAGAAAAAGAAGGTGAATATGTCATCAAAGAAATTTATAGACCAAAACCCATATATGTTGGTTTACTATAATTTGTATGTCATAATTGTGCTACAATCACAGTGTTGATTAGTCAAAATACTAAAAAGATATTGATTGATACTGTTTGTAAAAAAGTGCGATATAACCGAGTGATAATCGCCCATCAAGCTAAATTTACTCATTTGTTCCATTTACTGACTAAACATGACAGCCGTCGTTGTGCGGTGGATGAGAGGTTTGACACTGAATGGAAAATCAACACCATATTGTTGATACATTGACTAGACGAAACATCATTTAAGTTCCCTTCGACTAACCAACATCGTTACTCTAGCATGTCAACCACATTATGGACTGTTAGATCGAAACCAGACATCAGTTAGCTCAACAAAAATCACTTCCCGGAGATATCTTAGTGTAAACGTTGAGTACGAGAAAAGTCTTATTCTCAACATTACTACAATCCTCATAGATTTTATATCACGAACTTAAAACCTGACAGGACTGGATTACTGTTTCGTTCTAGCATGGGGCTCACAGAAGCGTCCAACCACGACCTCGGATCCGGAAATCAGACTCAGGTCTTTCGGTTTAATCCATAACCTCTAGAGCACTGGGTTAGCATCCAAAATGTTTTGAAACATTTTATAATATCACTACAGAGATCGATCAAATCAATTTCGTAAAATATCAGTGAGAAATAAACACTTTATTATTCTCATGTTTTTCAAGTTAATCTGCATCATCGTCTGAAACTCGCTGCTAAAACGTCCATATTGTATGCCAATGTGTTAAACTTTTAATTATAAATCCGAATGGTCGATAAAATTATCTACGATCCGTGATTCTCTGTTGCTCCAGACCAGCAAGTCATTCATCAACATTGTAGGATCTGGCACGAACGTGTGTCAGTCCGCTTTTTCACATTTCACATCATCACGGATAGTAAAGAAATTGAAAAGACGTATCGTATGATAGAAATAATTGTAACTTAAACGAAAATCTGAATAGAGATAGGATTAAAAGGAACAAGTCAGATCAAATGATGAAAAGTTAGAGATGAAAACTAACTTTTGGTTCTGAAGAAAGGAGAATGAATGGAACAGGAACTAATCTTATGCCATGGAACCCAATACTGGTTGCAAAACTTGTGCGAGCCCCAGTTAGGAAACCTATATCCGCCAAAGTGGTCTAGATCATTATACAATTATTTCAATAATTGATCTCATTTTCTGACTAGCAAAACCCAAACTTTTGATTTCTAGGTAGGTAGTTATATCTCATGATCAAGTAATTTGTAGAAATTATCGTTATTTCTTTTTAACCTCTTTTGATCTTGTAATTTCAAATAGCCGCTAAAACTGCCTTTCGCTTAACAATAATAAGGGCTCAAGGATCAGCCGTTCTATCAGATTTACAGGAAAAGTTTTCCCAGTTAAGGCAATTTATGACAGACTGTATTGGAATTAAAACACTCAAAGAACATGATGCGTAAGTTCAACACAGCATCGTTTTGCAACCAACTTTTTCTTATATCTAGACGTTACTCATAAAATAAAACTTTAAACAGACCAATGGACACACAGGCACTTGTGGAGGTGATTAAGGTACCAATAAGAAATTGGTCAACAAAGTTGGAAGAAAGCCTAGGTTATAGCTGAATTTGAATCCGTTGCTTCCTGGTTACTGACTCAGTTATTCAGTCATCAAATGTTATCTACATCCCTTATGTTTATTTTGTGAATATAATATGCCCATTACATGGGATGAGCATTAAATGATGGTGGTATTCACCTGAATGTAAGCGATGTCATTAAACTATCAGATTTCGTGATGGTGGAGAAGAGTTGTAGCTCAGGTGGATGATTTTGGTTGAGTTTTGTTCTTTGTGCTGGATGGTTTGGTCGTGGAGCTTTCATCGTTCTTCTGAACGATATCATCAGCACAAACTTCAGGCAAAAGTGAAGTGTTCGAATTTCTCTACATATGACCCACAGTTTGTCCTGTATGATAAGCTGCCAAATTAGCACCAGTTTGAAAAGGTGATTAGGATATATTCCGATACCATTATACACATTCTGATGCTGTATCTTTAATTTTAACTTAAGTGATTATCACTTTAAATACTGCTAAAGCTAACATTGATCATGAAACAGACGTGATAAAATCTTATTATGAAACACATAACTTATTATTATATGCTTGGTTAGCTTCTATACACAAATAATGTATTGAAATATTGTGGCACTTATACTCAATGACAACTAACTTGCACACCAATAGGCGTCTTACTCAAATTACAATACTCTCACATGCATCCACGGTGCTTTCCTTTCTTCTTGTGTCGATACGTTTTGAAGAGACCCGGGAATTTTCGCTGTATGCACTACATTGAATACTATTACCTATCCTAAATATATTACTCCTATCGTTTCCCTTAAACGTTCTGACCGATAGAGTTAACTAGTGCTAAGTGCTAAACAAATGTCTCCAATAGCAATGCGTGACGGTTGTGCAACACCGCGAACTGACCAAATTATGAAGCGGGATAGCGGCATCCCATCTCAATGGCCTAAAATTAACGTGTTTGCTTCAAAATTCCAATCTCAAAAAGAGGCCGAGATGACCACTGCTCAAATGTCTCATATTAGACCGAAAAAGATATTTAGTTCTCTCCAGTAATTAATCGTTGTTTCTCTAAAGTCAACCAATAATGTTAATTACAAATTAGTTCATCTCCATGAACTACCATGTTAAAATTTCATTTGGAATTTGATCTTACTATTTATCATGTAATACATTTTAGTGTGAATAACTCACTTGAAGTTATTCGATATATGATTGAAAAAGAACAGAAACTTCCAGAAAAAATGATATTAGACGGTGAACAATTTTACATTGATGAAGTGAGCATTCTATTTTGTTTTCTTTTCGTTACAATAGACTCTGTCTTCACTTTAATTAGAAATATACCCAAACTCGTTCAATGATATCATTTGATCATAAAGAGATTATTTCAACCCAGTTTAAATCGTATATTTGACTAGAAATATCCTGCAAAACGATTTTGAGTATTTTGTCTTAATTTCCTAAGGTTAAAAGAAAATTAATGTTTATTTGTTAGTTTTGTCGATGAATGGTCAATACGTAAACTTTGATTTCCAGCTAAAATCAGAACAACCAATTGATAAGTTGACTTAAATTTATTGATATTTTTCATGTATGTGGAACAACCGCGTTAGTAACATTAAGGTAATATGTAAGTTACTAAGTGAAGATGCCAGGATTGTTTCTTGAAACTTTTAATCTTGAGACAGACACTATAAGTGTTATCTAAAATGACAGTCAAGATAATAAGACTAAATAAATGAGCTCGGATAAATTTACACTATCGAAATAATTTATATGTAGCTTTTAAACTATCCTTATAGGAATATAGACAAAGTCAAATTCACTTTATTTATTGAATACACTATTGTATTAAGTTTGAATCCGGTTTTTGAGACAAACTAATTTTGTTTTTGTTTACAAATACTGTTTATGAATAAATATACATAGCTCCACAAGTTTACATCATTATATATAATAATTTGTTCACTTACAGAGTGGTACTACTTCACCTATTTCTAATGATTCATTATTGATGGAAAAACTTCGAATTAATTCACCAGTTATAAATAAACCAATTGAATCCGAACCCCAATATTTTAATCTTAGTCAGTTAAAATATCTATATGATAAAGTAAGTCGTAACATATTTTTTTCAGTTATTAAATCTCATGTTTTGGTTAGAATATAGAATATTCACGCAGAATTTTCGAATGAAATTGACTAATCTGATGTTAGAAAAATTATCATTTAATAATGTTCTTGCTTAAACCAACAATTGGAGTGAGAAAACCAAGGGTGAGTAGGAAACTTTTATTAAATAACACATTTAAAAATATGTGCACGACTCATTCATAAATATATATCCCACAGAAAATAATGTTTCTAACTAAACATATGTCCACCAATGGTAAAATGATGAGTTTGGGCATTGGGTATCAAGTAAAAACAGGGTTGATTGATAAAGTATTGAATAGTCATAAACTGAGATGGTTGTGATATATGTTACATGTTCTCAGCCACCTCCTACTTTGATGTATGATGTCTGCTGGCGTAGAAGTTGAAATAAAACTGGGAGCGACCAAAAAAGATATGGCATCAATCCAGGATTCATTGACTTTTAGAGTTCAGCATTGTATGCAATGTCCCAGATACATCCAGGCCTTACCCTCTTAGTTCCTAAATCCCGAAATCTACTGATGACATTTTACTCTACTTTTCTTTTTTCTTCACTTAATCCCTTCTACTACCACTAGCAATGTTGTTTATCTTGATAATAATGTGACATCTTGCACTGACGTACATTTGTTAAGTCCTGCATTTCATATATTTGACTGACTGTCTATTTCATGAGAAACTGAATCCAAATCTTGAACAATAGAAGGTCCATGTTAATATATTTCACTTATCATTTGGCCTCTGTCTGAATGGTCCAGTGTATAGCCTCAACCTTCTGAAAAATAAATCTAGGTTTTTGGATTCGACGGCACTGAACTGAGATGGGATGCATTAGATTATTAATGATCGGATGAGTAGTAGCCGTTTGTACGTATTAGTAGTAAAATTAGTACTAATAGTAGTAATGAGAGGAGAAATGGTGGTATTGTAAAGACTGTATTATTGTGAGTTTTCATACTATTATGCGTAACAGTAATAGTGTGAGCTGTCGTTATTGTTGTCATTGTATTCCATGGTGTTCATATAAACAAAATTTGTAAACAGACAGTTTATCTGTTTCGACCCATTTTATCAGCAGCAAAAAGTTGAAATAGATAATAATTCACTTCTTATCATTACTTTTGTATAAACCTTTGATGGATAAGTTTCATCTCTGAAGTGTTTTTTTTTATCTATTCCCTTCAATTAAAAGTATAATACCGGCTAATATCCATCCTTTTTTTCAAATGTCGAATACCGAGTGAATAAAACAAGTAATTATTAAGTTAATCTAAAAGATATGGTGATGATATTTTAATAAATTTTACTAATTGCTTTACTATCTAAACACGTGATATTCTTAATTTCCTGCTTCTATATTCCCTGTTTTAGTTTTCAACTCTTAGCCAAACAGGATGTATTGACGTTGTTAATTTTCAAAGTATATTGAAACCAATGCTTACAGAACGTTTTACTGAACTAACTGGCTCATGTTCTACCGACACATTAAATGAATTGTTAACATGTATTGTTTATAAGTATCGTTTATTATTTGAAACAAATTCTGTGAAAAGCTCAATTACTACTGATAATAACGATTTGATTAAAGTAAACAATATACATGAAAAACACGTTTATTACATTGATTGGCGTCAATTTTTATTAGCGGCTTGTCAGCCAGCTATTACATATCATCATTCCACTGTAATTACGCAATCAAGTCTAGTGGAACTATCACAAAGACTCATGGAATTAGATCAATCAGCCAAACACGAAAATTTACTCAATGTAAAAGTTACTCGAGCTCAATTTCAATTCGCTTCATTTAAATGGTTTCCAGTTGGAGTAAAGGTAACTATTTACAATTAATACGATATGCTTGATTAATGCATATAGTAAACGATTTTGAGGCCACTAGGTGAAGCAGTATCTGAGAGGTTCGAAATGGGGTTAACTATGAAATTTGTCGATTGTTTCTATATCTTCTTTCCGTAATATTGAAACATATCGACTGAAACATTAGTTGTGACACTATGGATACCCATATAACATGTTAAATTTATAAGCGATTGGCGATGCGATTCTAATCTTAAAAACTGTTGTGTATAAATAAAAAATTATTATACTTATCATCTTGCACAGTCAAAATAAATCTCATTTTACCAGGGAACCCTATTTTACATAAAGTGAAGAGATATGACTATACACATGTTTTACTGATCACTGAAAAAGTCATATACGTTTAAAATAAAACCTGAAATCAGTTTAGAAAATTTTTCAACAGCCTTTCACATTCTAGTTTTATTTAAATCACATTCACTGCATCAATGAAAAATAGCATACGACCCTAAGCAAGAAGTATTGGAATAATTCCTAAGAAGCCTGGAAAAATAATTCCATTTTGATCTGATATTGATTGTTTCTTCATTTAGTCCTTCGGTAACCTTTCATTACATTTGTCTTAAAAGTCTCATTCTCTTGTTTCTTGTTTTTTACCTTAGCATTATGAAGAATTGCATGATTTCATATTCAGTATGTTCACAAAGAAAGTTATTCAATCAAGAATCAACGAAACGTATCCTAAGACTGATTCACAGAATACAGAAACCTATATCAACTCTCAAAATAACAAAACATTGTCAATGGAAGAAACAGTCGATTGCTCAGATCTTCTACTAAATATATCACTTATTCAAGTAAAATCTCCTTATGTCGGCTTTCTACGTTGTTTATCAACACTTCTTGGAAGACATGTTCCATATATATCTGTTCACAACCAACTAATAGTGTAAGTAATATTATAAAGAGCTAAATATCTTAATAATATGATTTATCTTTGCATTAGTTGAGGAATAGAATATCCCGGATGTAGATTATAGTTTGGAATACTTGTATGTATTTCACATACATATTTAGGAAAATGATTGTAGTAGTTCAATACATATAATTTGTACTACACGTCATTGATAACTTTAAAGTAATCCACATGAATGCATAGAATTTTATCTTAATGACTCATAGGTATGGTGTATTAATACAGATTATATGTATATATATTCATAATTCCATATATTTAATTTCATTTTGTATGCAGAATCACGTGGCTTGTATATCCAAGTGTGAGCTTTCAAGGGCATCTATAAGTGCGATCAAGTGATGTAGATGAATGAAAGTTAACTGCTCATGTAATTAGATTTTAGGTGTACGATTAGGTCCTTCCGAAAATGAATCCCAAACCCCTGAAACTCAATATATTTACCAACGTCTGGAGGAAAAAAATAAAAGTATGAAAAAATTATAAGTTGAATAGCATTTACTTAGACAATTTCGGGTGCAGTCTAATGCATTGGATAGGGAATTCTCGAAATAATACCGAATACCATGAATTTTTAACGAGTGTCCTGAATAACATCAGTTTATAAGCCTGGAAAACAACAAAAACAGTTACATAACATTAAAGCTAAAGCATACAACATCCAGGGAACTAATTATCTGTTTAGTACTGCACTTAACCAATGAAAAAACGATAGAGGAATACTCTTGATTATTACTCAGCTGTAGAAAGCTGATCATGCTGAACGAGGTTCAAAATGTTAACGTAGTATATCCAAGTAACAAGTCTCAACCTTGAAGCTACTAGATTAACTGATAAATTCTTGTTCATATAATGATGAACATAAATAGTTCTGACTTATTTTCTCTCTTGTTTTCTCTTTAAATAGAGATCGCTGTGATATAGAATACGAAGGAGTACCACAGGATTGTTCTGATGATCCTATACCTAAAGAAATTTTGGAAAAGGTTATTTCAAAGATTTTTGTAATTTATAGTTCTCCAATATTATAAGGTCATTAGAAACAAAAGTATAAGCCACCCACTTCATGTCAACTCAGAGGTCTAAAGTTATTCTTTTTTCTACAAGGTCTAGGGACTGTGATTTCGACCCATCACCTGGGTCAGGGACCTACACTAGTGAAGAGTACCATGATAAAGACAGCATAGATACCTATCCTTCCTGGGTCTTAGTCATTGTCCAGTTAAAGTCAATCCTTGATGTGGAAGGTATTCATTTGCTTTGTTGTGAGAGTCGTAGACTTTTACTACTTCTTTTCTTTCTTCCAATAGAAACGTTTCACTAAAATAGCTATATAAAAATGATATTTTGTTATCCGACATCTGAAATAGTAAACAGGTTTAAATTACGCTAACAGGTGGAACGTTTTAGAGAATGATAAAATAATAGTAGTCAATGGGAACTCTGTAAGAAAAATAGAGATACAGAAAATAAGAAAATGATTACATTAAAAAAGTATAACACCAAAGATTATTCAAAATGACTTAATGTCCATCTAATATTATTCATGAATAAAGAAAAACAATAGAGAAACAATGCTAGAGTTAAGAATTATAGTTAAAGTAAGGAAAGAACCTTTGCAACTGGATAATTTTCAGTCCGAAAGAAAATTCCTCCACCAATAAGCATCAATTGACCAAGCATTGAGAAAATAGGACCACTGCCCAGCTATTTCTTTTTGGTTTAGGAGCCATTACAACCGAACACTCAAGACCCCATGTGTAAATGAGAACAAGATCTTAGTTCTTTAGATTATATCAGATCTCACCTAAGTCAACAGCAATCAAGTCTCCAGTAGTTCCTAAATGGAGTTCTTCAGATAAATTCACTTGTTCATGACCTCCTTAGTGAAAATCCGCGGAGTGCTTCCAACTAAAATGAAACAGATATTTATACAACACTTTGTGGTTCCCCAGCCAATACTGACTTCCGGTGGAAATTACTTTAAGATTGATCAGCATTCCCAAACACACAAAATTGTTTCAAAACAATGGCGTTTTTTTAACCAAAAACAAGGAATTGAATACCTTGTTGAGTTGAGTTCACTTTTTTACAATAAAATTAACTAGGGGAGACAAACAAACTATGTATCTTTATTCATGACATTTTTCATATTAAAAATTGACGTAGTACTCCTGTTTGTTGTATTTTTGGTGGCAAATAACAAAAAGTTGACATATGACTTTTTCGCTAAAATATATACAAAAGACTTCTGTAATGAAAGCCTTTGCAAGAATACTTCAACTCCCTATTAGTGGAAAACACAATTATCCGAAATTATACTAAGTAGCACATCAAACTTAGTTACAAAATTCAAACCCTCAACTAAAACATTAGAAAATTTTGTTCTTACTTATATAAATGAATAGTAGTGTGAAATGTTTTTATTAAATAAGAAAGATTGGTTCAGCGAAGAGTTTCTTTTCGGCGAATTCATTTTCAATGCTGTACAACCGCAAATATTTATGCTTATTTCTCAGGATGACGATAATTACAGTAATAGTGATGATAAAAATCTGTTAACAGCAAGGTAGAATAAACAAAGGTACAAAAAAATATTATTCAGGGAAACTAATAACACTTTTATTGTTAAAAGCTTGAATATATATCATGAAAATAAACAGGGAAATTATAATTGGGGACGCATGGCTCAGCATGATAAGATAAAATGTTGAAACTAAGATGAAATTTAATCAGGAGAGTCACAAAAACATAAATAAATCAGTTGCTGGTAGAAGGTCTATAGAGAAAATAGAAGGGGAGGATGGCTTCAATGGGAGAAAAGTATGAAGAAACGAAGCGAAAGAAAATTATGAGACATTAAGACCATAATAGAAGAAGAGATTGCACCTATCTCTTTTGGACACATAATTCTGGTTTTCCCGGATATATGGCTATTACGTTATCAATGTTAAGAAGACGCAATATAGCCGCCCTTGGCAGCCTTCTACTTACCTTGTAGATGACTTTGAACTCAGAGTCCGCTTTGATTGGGTGACCTGTGTTCATAAGGTGTTCGAGTATTAAGCTTCTTACTGAACCGTTTCTGTCTATTTTCAGCCACTCCAGGTAATGTTCTTGAATTCTGTTGGATAAAGTACGCATCGAACAACCTGTATGCCTGGCTTCACATGAGAACTTCAGTTTATAACTTATCTAGATGAAGAATAAAAATGTAGATACGGCTAGTGCCACTTCATACAGATATTCATCATTGTTATAAGGCGTATTCTTTTCTTTCTCACCAAAAACTGAGTTATCCAGAGGCAAGTAATTCGTCACTTACTAGAGAAAAATATCAGTAAATTTCTATTTGAATTTAAATTTAATTGAATATTTTAAACAAGTCGTATAGTTGTGAACACCTCTTAATCAGAAAATATATGTAATTATGAATATTGTCACCAAAACGAAGAAACTATATCGTACCACTTATATCTTTCTGCGTACTGCATTCCAAAACACAGCATGTTTGTACAAATAAGGTCAAGTGTCATTAATTAAGTTCCCTCATGTTTTCCATATTACAACAAAAATATAAAAAGAAACTGATATCACACTGTTTTATTGAGTAAAATAGTAATTCTGAGCAGTCCCACACTAAAGTGAAATGGCCGTCCAGTGCTCCCAAATGTTCCATGATTGTCTAGCATCAAGTGACTCATTAACTCAACTAATAAATTACTATAATATCCACAAAAACCCCTTTCTGATAATAGTAATGTTCACAATTTTCTAATAAAATAATATATATATATTCAGTAGTTTTATGTCTATTGTACATGAAGAAATCACCTAATCCTTTAGTAAATACTTTTATTCACATGAATTAGTACTTGGATATTCAAACCACTTCGCTTAATCTTTTGGAAGATAGCCTTCATTGGCAACTGATTTTAACTTAAACTTTTCAATATTGAACACTCATGATAACATAAAAGATCAGAACCAGTAAGTTCGAAAATATAATCCTTTCTATATTATTATTATTACTGACTTCAAAATTTATGAAATCGCCTCTGCGACTTATCAAAAAACTTTTAATCTCATTCTTTAAATATAGATTTTAAGCTTTGGTCTAGTTAATACAAACCAGCGTCGAACTGTTCATGATGATCTGGAAACGTTTCAAGTTTTGGATGCGTCTGAACCAGGAAATTCCCTTATATCAGTAAGTACATCAAAAGACGAGATTCAAATTGTCTATATAACCCATATATCATTAACATATACTGAATTATTTTGTTCAATTTTTCACCTAATTCAGTAAGTGTCTATTTTTGTAAAGAAATCCGGCGATGATAAATGAACGTAGATGATTATGCGTTTGTCCAAATCAAAAACCTTTTTAAAGTATAGACACAGTAAAATGGAAAGTGGTGATAATAAACTAATTCATAATCTAGCTACTACCATGATTCTCTGATTATTAAAAAAATATCGTGATGAAGGTAAAAGTTTCGAAGTCTGTTCATTTACTGAAGTAGAAAAAAGTCAGTATCAACACATGTAAAAGAAATTACGGATATTGAATACAGAATTTCATACTAACATCTCAACAGCTGACTATGACGTTAAAATATCAACATAAAAATTATCAGTTAGGCTGAGTAAACTTATTTCCGGATACTTTAGGATTTGAAATAAATTTTTTTGATGGGCTGACATTTTCTGAAGAACCGTTGGAATGGATCGTTTAATAGCTATCGTATGTTAGTGTAAAACTCCTCATCCGTATGAGCCTAAGATGCCACAGTGAAAATAAAGTTTTTTTCAGTCATCTAATTCAGAAATAATCCTGTGACCACGAACGGACCATTAGAAGTTCAAGTGGTAAACTATGGGCTACGTAATCATTCATGTAAAATGTGAGAATAAATCATCGATGACACTAGATAGAATTTCCTCTCTATCATGAATCGACTGAAGTCAGAAATGGTAACTAACGGATTTCAACTCACTGGCTCATCTGTAACGTGCCAGCTGCAAGAAAGGTAGATTCATGAGGTGCGTAATCCTAAAGAGTCAGTCCCAAGCAAAGGTAATATCTTAACCCAATGCTTGCTGTTCATAAATGGTTTTTCAACTGATATCAAGGGTTGCGCAAGACCATGGATCAACTGAAATTAGACATTAAAACCGCTAGATGCCGAATCAATGGCCTGGAAGCTAAGCGTTCGCGTGCGAGGCCGAATATCCTGGATCCGAGTCCCGAGTGTGAAATCGTGGACGCTCACTGCCGAGTCCCGTACCAGGGCGAAATGGCCGTCCAGTGCTTCAAGATTCTTAATGGTGGTCTGGCTTAGATCTACTGATAAGTTCAACCATTGATATCAATTTGTGATTTTGAAAAACTCATTCAAATTATATAATTACATAAGTTTTTGAATATACATAACTTTTTTAAACATCCATAAACTAAAAATTATTCAGTTAATTAAGTAGGCTGTGGTAGTTTAGATAAGAAGCATTAATTATGGATAGAGAAATGTCAACTGGGGGTAACGTATGATGACTGGAATTAAAATGAGAATTTAGATTTTAAAGAAACCAACGCACTACGTGGAAAGTACGCCCGTTGTTGGGTTGAATATAGCAGGCAAATAATTCTTTTCTAATTCTAGCTACCATCCTTACATAATTAAATAAATGAAACTTACCTGTTCAGTATTTCAGTTCTAAACAAATGGAAATGTATGTCAACCTTCTAGACCCTTGAGTTTCAGCCCTCATGATGAAGGATCACAAACCAATTCTAATTCCTTAGTCTCTAGTTTTTAAAAATCATATAGTTTGCAAATTATCAATTTGGTAACCTAATATGTATATAAAATGAAGATGAAATAGGATGATGATAAACTCCACTTTCTCTCGCAAACCTGACCTTACACCTAGCAATCAACTAAAATGAAGCGGGAATTATTATTTACACTACCGTAATCCATGATGAAGGTAATGTTTTGTTCTCTATCGTTTTTACTGGCTTACATCAAAAATATAAAGTTTTCTACGACGAAAATACTACCCTATCATGGTACGGACATGTCCAGTGTAGCGCACTCAGTCAGGATGGGAGAAAAATCACAACATAACAAAAGACGTACCTCGAATTAATTCTATAATAGAAATTAAACTGAAATATCTATAACTGAGCATATACATAAACGTAAACATAACGGTAATTACTGACTACGATGCACTTAGATGACTTCACAACATGGAATTCATCCCCATCCCCATATTAACTTGTTTCCTTAAAATGAAATGCATTTTTCGTAATTTAATTATTGTGACTAACAAACTAATTGATTATTAAATGGACACCCTGATTATTACCGATAAGTAAACTAACTAACTGATTAGAGATGAACAGCATCCAATACATTTTGAATTACAACACTATCAATCACGTGAAAATTAACGAAAATAAAAAATAAAAAACATCAAACGGAACAAAATAAAATAAACAATATAAGTACTTTTAAAATCAAAACAAGTTAAATCTTTAATGCTACCCAGGGTAGATACAAATATTAACACAGAATATTGTTCGCTAAGGTAGTGGTTCAATGAACCACTACTTTATTGGCCGACAAATCCATTAAATAAATCATGGAGAAATATATTAAAATGAACAGTAAAGATATGAGTAAATAGGGAAAAATAAATATGGTAATAACTACTCTAGCCAATATAGCACTCCTCATAAACTTATTTTCTACTATTGTGTACAACTGAATGTTTAGCTTTAACAGTTTCCAGTCGATGAATTTGTTACTTATGGACAAAGTTACAGAGATAACTAAATCAAAAGCGATAGCCAGTTTTATATTATAAGATTATTATTATTATTATTATTATTATTATTATTACTGAATAAGAAAAAGAGAAGTCAGAGGAGAACATTTTCTTTTTGACGAAATCATTTACTTAAGCTGTACATTCACATATATATAGTTATATGGAAGATATATGTACATAGGAGGATAGAAAAGCTTGCATCATAAAATGGATTCGAGACTAAATAACAAATGAGGTTAACGTACTAATCAACGGGTAAGGAAGAAAATAATTTATGGGTCAGCTAATAGTTCAATTGACAGATATGAAGAAAAACGACAAACATAATGGTCTTAATAATAAAAACTGAATAATAATCAAGAAAACTTGTTTAAGGTAATAATAATAATAATAATAATAATAATAATAATAATAACTGATTAGAGTTTAAAATGCAAATAATAATAATAATAAAAAGGATTCAGCGAAGAAAATTTTCTTTTCAACGAAATCATTTACTTAAGCTGTACATTCGTGTATATATAGTTATATGGAAAATGTATATCTATAGAAGGATAGAAAGGATTGCATCACAAAAAATGGATTCGACAATAAATAACAAATGAGGTTAACGTACTAATCAAGGGGTAAGGAGAATGTAAGACAGTCACTAGTTCTATACAGGAGCATTTAATCAATTTTAGCTTTAAATGGCAACTCATTATTCACTGAGCTATTGAGTTCATCGGATCACTGAGTCGTTCAACGAAATGAAGTTATATATACGTAAGGGTTTGAGTTTTCTCGTTGTTGATCCTCTATTGTCGTATGTGCAACCTGAGGAGGTTACTTATATATTGCCTTTAAACATAAGTTTTAGTAAGGTCCCAATAGTGATTGATCAAATTCAGTCTTTAATATCAACAAAGAGAGAAATCAGTCCCTTACATACATATAATCGCAACTATAAAGTATTAGCATAAATACTATCATTTAATGAGGTATTTCTGTGAAAAATCCTAGATTTCATTCTTTTTGTGATGATAAGTGCGCATTACTGAAGAATTTCAATCTAAAAATGAAACAACTTTCTATAACCCCTTGACTATCAACTCTTCTGTACTTGATATCAGTCTGTGAATATTTTTCTTGATAAATTTGTTTTAATGCTACATATCTTATGCTGTTCTGTTATTATCGCATGATTATTTTTATATAATCACAGGACAAACTTCAAGATATATTTACGAGTCTTGAAAGTAATGGTCAATCATCAACACTCAAGAATTTATTACATAATATACATTTTCAAAATTTATTGATCAGTTCATTAACACAATTCAAAGGAATAGCACCGTTTTCAGAGCCATGGATAACAGCATTACAAACTTACTTTAATAATTCATTTTAATTATAGAAAAGATGAAACAATTTAAAGGACATCAATGGCAAGACAAATTATCAACAACTTTCTGAACCAATATTGGAAAGCATGAGTTTTTTTCTTATCTTCACATGTTATTTTCACTTTATTTATTATGGCAAATTATTTCAATAAGAAGTTGTGCTACATTTTCGGATTATCAAGGACAATTTTTGCTATTGTCACAATTATTCTACTATACACGCTCTCGTTTCTCTAAAGTATTGTAGTAAACTTTTTTTGAATTTCAAAATAAATACAGATATGGTGACGATTTTCTAAACAGATATATTACAATATACCACAAACTGATTTCAGTTGAAAGTGTGAACTGTTGGGTTCCGACTCTATGGTCTAGAGGTATTATGACTAACACAAGAACTGAATTAGTGGGCGCTTTTTCATTTTCAATGGTCCTTCATCTGAGGTCAACTTATGACCAAAGTTAACTCTAGAATTTTGAATGATTATATTATTAAAATCTTGATATTCAGGTGTAATGTGATAGTTCAACCTGTTTTCCTTCCTCCGTACAGCGATCATAATTGACTGTGATCGGACTTAATCGTTAACACCTGACTATGTAGTCTAATGAGCAGTACTGTAATATCCTAAATGATGAGGAATACCCTTAAATATTAATAAAAACACACGAACCTACTGAAATCTAGTTAGCCACAAAAAATGAAATGGTATGTCATAAATCTGACTGCTGTAATCGGGGCAAACAAAAAACATCTTGGTAAGGTAACAATTTTCTTATACATATTCAAAATAATATGAGTTGAGAAAAATACTTCTTCCACCAAGCTGTTCATCATGGTTCTACACTAATATATATGTTTTTCGATTAACAAGAAAGTAACTCTCAGTCAATTGGTAGTCTACTCATTAGCAACCTTATAAACTCGGAAGTGTTTATGGATGATTAAAGGAGTAATTCAAAGGTGAAGGTCAGAGGAATAATTATAATATTCAGAATTTCTATTAATAAATGAATCGAAACATGTATTTATGAAAATGACAGATAATAAATTGTAAGAGATATATTTTTTGTCAGGAAGTTCTCTATGAACAATAACTGCTTACGAATTAGAAGGCAAATATTAATGCTAATTACGTTACAGTAAAGATACAACAGGCACGATCTGCTAAATAGAAAAGCAAGGGAATTTAAATTGTTTTTAACTAGCTATAGTCTATTAAATAGTGTTAGATGAAGGTGTAAGCTATGCAAATATTCAAAGTTATAATGGTGGTTGTCCATATTTTCTTGGATACAGAGATTCAGTTTGCCAAGATAGATACCGGTGGCTTCTACTGCCTATAATAAACATATTAAGACAAACTATAACGGATAACTCGGTTTTATTCAAGCAGACCTAATGTCTTCTATCATTTAGGTAAAAGGTCTTGACCGCTGTTGGTTATTCTTTCCCAATTGGTGGAGGATAATGTTCATAAATCCTACAAGAGACTTTGTTTGTTGTGCAAGCAATATGACTCGAAACATAAGAGCAGTTGAACTGGTAAATGTGCATCATCGAGGCAAATTCAGGTAGTTTATCTCTAGTTAAAAAGATCGGGCAATTATAGAAAGTGATAAAAGGGTTAGCGATAGCAAATTTCTACAAAACCACTTTTACACACCATACTGTTATTTCACTGCCAGTATCATTTTTGAACTCTGGTTTCAAGAACAAAGAATTATCTAAAAACTGCCTTTTGTTGGTCAGTCCATACACTTATTTATAAGATTACTAAATTCACATAGCCCTATTTGGATACTTTTGCACTCACATTTTGCACCTAATTAATACATTTTTAACACACAATTGTATGAATGAACAATATTCTCTTCAATAATTTCTCATCAGGTTCTACAATTATAAATCCAAATTAATAATCCATAAAATTGACCAGATTTAAGTCAGAGTACATCATTTGGAAATTGTAATATGTGAATTGAGAATTGTTGTTTGTTATATAAAATCAATTCAGATTATTAATGTTGGGGCTGTTTAATATAAAGTGTTAACTTGAATCAGTTTATAAGTGAAATGAAATTGTGCGATAAATGATTAGAATAAATATGGTCAACATGGGGTGAGAGAGAAAATAATGGAATGAAAATCGGAAATTACGCAATATGTAGAATAATATGAATTAGGTCAAATATAGTAGATTTAGGGGTGGATATTGAATAAATTCCCCAAAAGTTTATAATGTGTAATCATAATAATAATAACAATGATAAAGGTGAGAATCACAGTGGTAAAGATAATAGTAATATCACAGGTTGAAATCATGAGTCAATTGAAGCTAGACCACCATGGAAAATCTGGAAGCACTAGACGGCCGTTTCGTCCTAGTATGGGACTCCTCAGCAGTGCGCATCCACGATCCCGCACCCCACGGGATTCGAACCCAGGACCTACTGGTTTCGCGCCGTTACCTGTGTAGTTCAACCAGGTCTGTTGTGAGATATTAGCTCACTGAAGACAATGGCGTACGGTGGCGCAACTTCGTGGATTGGTTGAAGTTAGACGTTAACACCATTGGATGCCGGCTCAGTGGTCTAGTAGTTAAGTGCTCGCGCGCGAAACCAGTAGGTCCTGGGTTCGAATCCCGCGGGGGTGCGGGATCGTGGATACGCACTGCTGAGGAGTCCTATACTAGGACGAAACGGCCGTCCAGTGCTTCCAGGTTTTCCATAGTGGTCTAGCATCAATTCACTCATGATTTCAACCTGTGAAATTTCTAAAAATCTCCACAAAACCCATTCTGATAATAATAGTAATAGTAATAAGATAAGTTTGGGACATAAAATGAACATTAATCAGATTACGTCACCATAATATAAAATTAACTATTAACTAGTTGGCCCCAAAGTTGGCCAGGGTAAAAGGAGTTGTTGAACATACTCCTTTTGGATGCAAAGCTCTGGCTTTTTTATCCGAATAGCAATTGCTTCAGCCGTCTGTAGGATTCGCAGTCTGACGGAATTAGGTAGACTGTTGTTAACACGATAGATTATTGCAAAAGATTGCTCCATGTTGGCTGTACATCCTGTTTGAACTACATGGTCTTAGATGGAGCTGTTAACAGTTTTGACTAAACTTTTGCTTAACCACACGGGGAGGTGCTCACGAGCTCGAATGTACAAATCCCTAGAACATCTACCAATATAACTTGCTCCACAGGAGCAGTTGAATCGATAGATACAGAAGGAGGTGGCTAGTCTAGGTAATTTATCTTTCAACCTCGGAGTGATTATCGGTCGTCTGAAGAACATTAGTTGTAGTTTACCCGCATTAAAAGTCCTTTGAATTGATCTGCTTAACTTAAGTCTTAGCATTTTTAACAGTCTTTTACCCAGTTATAGAAAACCCAGTATTTAAGTGGAATAATTTAATTATGTTCCTAAATGTAGTGGACAGTTGATAGTGTCTTTGCTCAAAGAACAATATTGCATCGTTCACACGTTTATAGTGCTCTCTTATGGAAATTTAGAAGTTTATACTTGATAATATAACTGTTAGAAATGCGTTTTATATTTGTTTCGCGAACTATAGAAAATCAAAAGATATTGGGACCTTTTACATTCATTAAGGATCGCAAAGTTACATGACACAATAATAATCGTTTAATTCAATGTGTTTTATACAATATGGAGTTCCCAGCACCCAAAGTAAGCGAAAAAATCTTATCCATGATTCGTAGGATCATTCCCAATAAGTAAGTTGGGTATCGAACCCAAGTTCATCCAACTAAACGCTATCAAAGAGTGACAGTCACTTAATTTATAATAGAAATTATCCAGGAATAAAAAATAAAACACTACAACACACGAACCTCGTAAGAATTTTAGTTTATGATTTCTAGCTCCTAAAAAAAGACTGTGGAGCCGATTCAGGATCATCTGCTAAAACTTCATAGACACATACTCTTTTCTAAGTTGACTACATCTGGTACTGTAAAGAAAAATTTCCACCACACACGTGTAGTAGATGGCTTATTATTACTGAGTTGAAAAGCGTAATTTTATATCTCCCTCCAAGATTTATAAAACCTTTATATCTAACTTATTCTACCTCTTATCAACTAAGTTTGAAACTCTGACCCGAATTGTCACACTTCACATTAACACAGAGAGGAAATTAATGAAATTGAAGTGAATGAACAACAATGTCGATAATTTATTAATTGTAAGGATTTATATTTGCTTGCAACTTACACTCAAGATTGGTTTTAATGGGTTCCCATAGATATATTTTCCCAGAACAGATTCATCAACTTTACCTACAGTTAGAAGTTTATTATATTTTGCGCAGTCCGATACGTCCTATTTTCAACTTGGCAACTGTATGTACCTGAATACCAGTTGATAATCCAATGAGCACTGGGTTCGTGTGCCCGCGTAAACAATGGACAGATTATAAATAGAACAAAAGAAGCTTCCGAAATTTCGTCGGTAACCATTATTTAAAATGTCTATGGGAGTATAGGACGAAACGTAGGAAATGTAGTTTAAAAGCAACAAATAAAATCGATAAAAAAGAGTATAGAATAATATAACTTAAAATTGAAAGGGAAGATAAAGAATAAATACATCTACTCAACTGTGAACTATTTTAAAACATATTACCTTAAATTTCAAAATCAGGAGCAAGATTGTCTCGCTGATAAATGTTAAAGGTTAACTAACCGCACATCTCATTATGGATTGATATCAAAAGGAGTGCTACTGAAAACTGGCCACAATCAAACATTTAATTTGTCCTACCTCTGACCTTTTCAATGACAAGCACCTACACCCCTCTCAATGATCATGGTCAGAACTATTAGACCGTAAGCCAACCGCATAACGTTTGGATCACCGAATTAAAATAGTATGATTCACATTTTCAACTTCAGTCAGTTCACGGAAAAGTTATCGATACTAACCGATTATATCGCTATCCAAAACTCCATACTTTTTAGTAATTCTCTAAGGTTGATCACAGACTGAAACTTCCGTTAAATTAAATTCATCTCCATAAATCTTTTATCTTGTAGTATTTACTGAATATTTTCTTATCAACATTTATTTATCTTTTTGTACAGAAGAACGACAACAGGAAAGAAAAAACAAAAGAAAAACCTGAGACAAATAAATCAGAGAAACAAAAACCTCAAATTCAGCAATAAACTGGAAAAACAAGATAATCTAGCCAATCATCTTGTTTGTTAACGTCTATAAATGGTAGTGAAATTAATCATAGATCTTCATGTAATGGCTG